TTCGTTTACTGCGCACCTTTCCGTATTCGTTCGTCTTGATTTCGTACTAACAACCTTTTGCTTCGTTTATTGGACCCCGATTGCTTTTGATTTGGATTTGGACTGTTTAGTTTCTCTTTTTTACGAACTTTGCTTTCCTCTGGACCACTGTGATTGTGTTGTGACACCATGTCCGTGTACACCGTACAGGAATATGCCAACATGCACCTCATTTATGGGGAATGCAGATGCAATGCTAGTGCTGCAGCTAGACTTTATCGTGAGAGGTACCCAAATGCTGCTCGTCATCCCGATCATCGAGTTTTTACGAATGTGCACCGTTTGCTCTCAGAGGGACGATTCCCAAGCTTGAAAGACATACACCCATCTCTGACACGTTGACTGTGCCGTTTACCACGGAAACCAGGTCGACTTGGATGTTGCATGTTGCGCTGGGCCGCTAAAGTGGCTCGCGAGGGCTACGTATGAGGCTTGTGACTTTAAATGTAGGAAAGAGTTCGTCAGTCGGTTGGTAATTACTTTGGTTTCAATGGTGATGTTTTTCGTTAGGTTTATTTGGGTGGGTGGGAGTCAGGTAGTTGGTATAATCGCGTCAAGACGTAACCTTTTATACTTCAAAATAAACTACTCGTATATTAATAGTGCCGAAGATTCAGTAAAGTCAATTTTTATGGGGGCCATCTTGGATTTGCCATTTTGGAAAATCGAAATTAGTATGGCGGCCATTTTGTTTTTCGAATTTTAAATTTTTTTCACTTCCGGTAGAAACTGCCCAGGTTGTGGATGAACATTTGTTTGGAGACTTTGAGCCAAGACGTATACATTGGCCAGGCAGCTGTGGTCTTACCTGATGCGGAGCATATTTTGAAGGTTTCGATACTTTTTCATATTCACTAAGTCCGTCTGACTATAATTACTCTACATCATTTCTACCCACCCGCCTGTATTCTGGGAGAAAAATGACGCCAAAGAGCAGACAATTCACATGTATGGCGGCCATCTTCGCGGGCCGCGAGGGCTTTCTTTATATCTTGTGGCAAATTGGGAGTTGAACTTTATATTTCAGTAGAATCCTCTTTAGTTAAGTTAGAGTGGGAGTGATCTGCGACTATTCAGAAAAGTCAATTATTTATGGCGGCCATCTTAGAAAATGGCGGAATCCAAATTTCGTTCACAGATACATACTATGAGCCGCCATACACGATCGGGTGTCAAATTTCAGTCGGATCGGAGACCATTTATTTCGGGCCGCCATTTTGAGTCCGCCATCTTGAAATTTTTTTTACTTGCAGTTGGCTTGTTCTATTCTGTACGACATTTGTTTGAGCGCCTCACGTCTATCTACAAACCTCGCCGAGATGTAGGCCTCGGAACACAGTGAACAGTAGAAAATGTATGGCGGTCATATTGGAAAATGGTGGAAACGAAAATTTGACCGCAAATTCCTATTACTGTCACCCGAATATAGAAAAATGTTAAATTTCAGCCGGATCGGAGCACCTTTTCGCCGGGCCGCCATCTTGAATCGGCCATTTTGAAAAAATAATTTTGATAGCCAGTTAGACCCTGTCACCATATACGATATTAGTTTAAACACGACTTACCTATCTCCAATAGTTTCCGAGATACAGGCCCCCGAAATATGTATGGCGGCCATTTTGTTCTTCGAATTTCGGATTTTTTTCAATCCCAGTAAAATATGCCCAGGGTGTGGATAAACATTCGTTTGGAGACTTTGAGCCAAGACGCATACTTTGGCCGGGCTGCTGGGGTCCTACCTGATGCGGAGCATATTTTGAAGGTTTCGATACTTTTTCATATTCACTAAGTCCGTCCGACTATAATTCCTCTACATCATTTTTACCCACCCGCCCGTATTCTGGGAGAAAAATGACGCCAAAGAGCAGACAATTTACATGTATGGCGGCCACCTTGGAAAATGGCGGAATCAAAATTCTACCCCAGATTTGTAACCTAAATATGTGTCACCGGCAGTTGACCCCCGCCGCCCTCTATGACATTTGGTCGAGCACCCCCCCACCTACCTCTTGTAGCTTTCGAGATATAAAGCTCTGCAATTTGTATGGTGGCCATCTTGTTTTTACGAATTTCGAATTTTTTTCACTTCCGGTACAAACTGACCAGGGTGGCGGCCATTTTTAGTAAGAACACCTTTCCGGTAGGTCTTATACTTTAGCCGCGCGCGTAGGCGTTTACATGATGCAGTCCACTTTTCGAAGATTTCGGATTTTTCTGGTACTCACGGGACCGATCCGTCTACGAGTCTAGTACATTATTTTTACCCTCCGGCACTCCTTCTGGGAGAATAATTATGTCAGTATCTAGATCAGTCAGTGGTAATCGAGCTATATATAGTATAATAATAAATAATACATAGCTAATGTTGTAGCTTTCGTGTTTTTTTTTTTACTTTTGTCTTCCATTGTAGGTGTGGGGAACACTGATTCAACGAACGTTTTAATCAAATGGTTGTTATTTGATTGAGTCAAGTCATTTCTTACTTCGGAAGTCATTGAAAGCGTTAGCAATGTCAACTGGGTCCTTAAAATGTAGTATTGTTGATTGCAATGTCGTTGACACTAGTGTCATAATCTCATATTACAAATTTCAGCCTTAATATGACCATGTTACATTTATTGGTACTGCTATTTATAAATATTGTGTTAGCGTTTTTCTTTCATTTATAAATATTTCCACTTATGGTTTTCCATCTACGGGCATCGGAATTTACGTTTACTTCTAGCACTTTTCCTCAATCCACGACTCATCCATTTCTGTCTTTTGTCGATGATAAGTATTTAATTTAAATTTTCGAAATACATAAAGTATACATCAGGCGGTATATATTAAATTTATGAAATGCATGAGAAGCCATGAGAGCGCATGCGAATATTCTCCGAATAATTTTAATACTTTGCAAAGAAAAATCATATTTCAGAAGTTTGAAATAACGATCGCTATGCCATTGAAGATACACCCTTAACACGAAAAAACAACAGGCCATACAAAACAGTAGTTGCAATTGACAAATTACAACCATGGTTTAAACTTTCAGCGTCCACATTTGTCGCATAACGATTCTAGCAATAGTTCAGAAAGCGTAGACTAATCTAAATAACGTTCACTTATTTTTTTTTCTCTTTTAATTGATTTGTATTGATATGATATTTGTTACATGATGTACACTTTTTTTACCTTATTATATTAAATTTTATTGAATTATTTATGAATGTCAGTCAAATATTCGAATCATTATAAAAATCTAACTGTAGGCTAATTATACTGTATTATATTTATATGCGTGTATATAAACGTCACTTGGGAAATCGTGATATTCCAGGTCCATAACCAACTCCATGGTCAGAAATATGTTGAGCTCTGCATACTGATGGAAGCGATCTGAGCTCCAATGGTAACGCAGATAGCGACCGTATGGGCCTGTGAATGGTGGCAATTCGCGGTCCGAATGGATATATCCGACTATGGCCGTGAACGTTCTGTTCATTCCTCACGAATTCAACAACGACCTGTCAATATCACGACGTCCAAAGTAGCAACCATGCCAAAGAAGTACAGATGGAAGCGATCTGTTGTCGATGTTGAACGGTAAACGCAGGTAGCGGCCGTTCGGGCCGGTGGATAGGTAATCCACGGCCCAAGTTAGACAACATTGAGTTAGTTGTTGTTCATCGTAAAACGATACGTACACGAGGTCGTGTAGTATCCAAGATGGCCGAACTGTAGAATAGTTTTATTGTAGATTGATGAAATATGTATTCATACATAGTAAATTAATGTAATAACTGATTCCTAGCACATAATAAATAGTATCGTATGTGACCACTAGATGGCATTGTATTGTATAGAATATTGGTGACAAATAGATGGCGCTATTTATAATTGCCTAATGTTAAATTGCAATATCAGTTTAATCCGAAGGAAAGGTTTACAACCAAATAAGTTTTATTGTAGATCGTTAAAATAATTATTCACACTTATAATTTTAAGCATTTGAATTCATACATTTTTAGTTAATTTTCTCGTCAGCCAATTGGCGACCGTTTCCGCCACATCCCACCTTGCTACTAAAAAGTAGGGTTGAGTGGAGGGACAGGGTGGCGGAATCGGCCGGTGCTCAGTCGAGTGGTGTGCAGGAGTCCGAAAGGCTAGACGAGTAAATTACTTACATAAAGTGAATGTATTACATTGTTAAGGAACATGTGTCAACTTGGTATTATTTCACGTCCACGGATAGCACTACAACACAGGTAATACTAACATTAGTCAGGATTCGCTCTGGACCTTTTGGAGGCAAAAGTGTCGTTTTTATTAAAACGCGAAATTATACGAATCTCGAACTATAATACCCGTACCGGCCCGTTCTAAGGAGTCCCGAGTCAATCCAAGCACGCCGCCTCAAATTGCCTATCCTCTTTGTGGCGGCCATATTTACAGAAAAACTTATTTTTATGTTTTCGGCTGAAGGTCTTTGTTTCCATGGCCAGTAATAAATTTAAAAAAAAACATTAGTCATAAGATCACTAACCATACATAACAATTTATTTCGGATTTTTTTTTGTCCATACAAAAAGTCCGAAATAAATTATTGTTATTACATACCCTATACAATGAATAAACGAATACTTTCCTTTGAGTCTCGTCTTGGTAATGAAAATACCTAAAGTAACTAATTTAAATAAAAACTTGTTTAACAAACACCCTTTGCTTTAAAAGATCCATACCCAGTAAGCATATATTGATGAACTGAGTTTATTTTTTACTAAAAATACATAAAAATGAGACACTTTTGAAATTATTTTCGAAAATTCAAAATAGTGCTAAGATCTAAAAATTGCGTAACCTGGACGTCATATTCGGTTTTTACTAAAAATATTTAACTTACGGCATTGCAAAATTGTAACCTTCCATTTAGCTTTGATTACTTACCAACAAACTTTGTCAATAAGAAAATCACTTACCACTCAAAAGCATTGTAGTGATAGTAGCACAGGCCTAATCCATACAGGAACAGTGGATCTTTCCAATTGTCTTGCTCCAATGCGTAAAACTTTTGATATGCTGACATTGCTGGGTACAAAAATATCCAATATATTTTAAAATAATTGCAGGCAAAAAGTGGGTGGAAGGGATATTATATGGATTGTATTCAAAGTAAAACCACCAAACCATGGCCTAAACAATCTCCTTAGATGGGTCATTTAAGATACAAAAAAGGTCTAATTTCAATATTTATTTTATTGAATACCATGATTGCTTTCACTACCATATTCTTGTTTTTTTTTTTTGTGAAAAAATTCATCACTAGTTTGTCGTTATTATATATAGAAAGATCAAAAAACATAAACAAAAAATCCATAGATCCGGCTGGACTCTAATCTGAGACTTTTCGCCAAACTGGGGCTATCGCTCTTCCAACTGTGAAATGAGTTAGCAGACCTTATGAATTTCTCTAAGTGCCTGTTGCAGATCTTTGTTTTTGGTTTTTAACGGCTTTTGCTGCCGTAGCGCCATAACAACATGAATTTTACAAAATGAGCAATGTTGAAATCAAGAAATTGAAGTATTTTTCCAAGTGTAGAATTTATGTAGTATTTTGTAAAGTTATCATTACCATTGTATAGAGATCACAAATAATTATGTTATTCAACACATAATGTGATTTAATGTCACAAAATCTGTAATCACTTCAAATGTCAAAAAATTCAAAACAAACCTTTAGCATAATCCTCCAATAAAAGGTGAAAGTGTCCAAGCTTGCAGTATGTTTTTGGATCAATGCAGATATCTCTTCTATCTCCAGGGGATGAAACTTTCTCCTCCTCCTAGAAACACATGTTAAGGGGTAATTAGACATCAATAATAATATGTCAAAAATTGTATCTTACATCATTTGTACAGAGTTGAAACATGCGTTTAAAAATATGGTACAATTTGTACACATTCATGTGACATGTGACAAATTTACACTTTAAAAACCAGTATTAAAAAATATTGAGTCAACAAATTGCCATACATAGAGGAAGTTTGAGTAGGATCAGCAACTCTAGCTACCCATTATAACTATAAGAAAACAAGTCCAAGAAAACTGAACATGACTTTTGAAGATATTTCTACTTATTCTTTGTGGAAAAAGGCAAATCAATTAATCTGTTAAGATGGCAATCAATTTACATCCTTACTACCATACTTATGTTGGAACACGTAATATGTCGTCAATTTGTTAGTTTATTTTTCTGTAACTACGTTCGTACGTACGTAACTAATTCAATCAACATAAATAAAAGCTTTTGTAAAAATTGTTTATGCATTGTACCATTTTTTTAAAATCTGTGAATGTACATCGAAATATCTTCAAAAATTCATGGCTTCTTCTAGGCCTATTTTTCCTGTAGCTATAATCATTAATAAAGACATGAGAATCAGTGAGGCCGCTGATTCTTTTCAATTTCCACCTTGTATGCCTTAGCACAAGTCCTAATTATTACAATAAAAGTATTTTTACATTAACCAGGAGATTAACATGATAATTTTTTAATTTCTGGCCATAGTTAAAAAATAGCTAATGCAATGCAAAAAATTTGTTTATAATCAGTTCGGTTCACTAGCCGTCTAGAAATGTGCTCTTTATCCTATATATTTATAAAAACTACAAAATTTAAACCAGTTCAACCGGTATTATATTTTTCTTTCTTGACTGTCAAGTTAGTTGGCGAGATCCTGATTATAAGATAATACCAAACTAATTTAATTATAAATTGAGCAGGTTCAATACACTGGTTAATTTTGTCTTACATTTTTGTCCTTCTCCAGTATATTCCTTTTGTCAATAAATATTATTTTGCTTTTACACAATTAAAACATGACACTTTAAGTGTCAAATACTTTCATGGGTAATATTGTATATTTAAGAACTTCCTCTTTTTGAAGTTGGTTAAAAACCGTACCTTAACTTGGACAAGCATGCCTTCCAGATACTTGACTGCCTTAAGGACAAGTGCTCTAGTTCGTGCATGTTCGTTGCCACGGAGTTTCAGGAACCCAAATTGGCGACTGAAAACAGAAAAGTTGGTGATTTGTAAAAAGTAGGCTACCTCTAAACTAAAAATACCTATACACTATATACCTATAAACTAAAAAGGGTCGTGAGAGTCGTATTCCAGAATGTGACTCAAGCATCGCCGTGATCATCAATCAATTAAGCATTGCATGAGCATTGATTCAAGTCTTAATTAAGCATTTCATTTATTCTTGAATAGTACTCAGTGCTGTACTCAGCTGAACTACACTCAAGTTTGAGTTGGGATTATCCATAGTTGTAAGGGTTTTTTGTTCATTCATTCGTATTTGTCTATTAATACTTGATTGTATCGCCTCAGTTCTCTTTGCCTTTCATTACAGGAAGAATTGTAACATTGTCAAAATCAAATACATTACGCTGAAATTTACTATTGGAAATGAAAATTATTTATTACGCTGATCAAAAGCAATATGAAAAACTTACACTGGCGGCGATGATCGCTATAATTCCTAAATTACTATTAATACTATTGGAAATTTTTAAATGAATGCAGTGTTTAAGAAAAGTTGTTATTATCTGTATGCCTATCAACAAAACAAAGCTTGTATTATTGAAACTACCTAGATTTTAACTTAGAAGTTTAAATTATAACATTCTAGTTGGTCAAAGTCAAATAATCATTTATTCCGTTGGTAAAATATTACACTTGAAAACGCCATTTTATAGGTTACTTTGAATGTAAGTTTTATACTTAGGAAATGATAATCTTAACATATACTCCGGAATCATATTGTAATAAAATCATATACCTACAGTTCCCCATAAAAGAATCGTTAACTTTAATGATCCAGTACATACAAACAAGCAAACCAGAATCTGTATTTGGTGCGATCGGTTAACCACGGTTCTCTGATTTCACTCATCTGCTATGATAGGTTAAATTTTTTTTTACCAAATCTTCCATGTCGTACGGATCTTGTAGGTCTTTCAACATCTGAAGCGATTGAGTATGATATTCATCATTGATATATTTTGATAAAGATCAAAATTCTCAAATGGTTTCATTGTAAGCTTGTAATTTTTTCGCCGATTATTATGTACTCGAGCGCAACCAGGACCTCACTCAAGTAAATACAGATTTTGACAACACTCAAGACAAGATTTTACAGTTGAGTACCGTTTAAGAAACAGTAAAACTAAAACGAATCTCAAGCATTCTTCTAAAATTTCAACACAAGCTGTCACTTCCTCTGACATTGTTCAGGTGAACTCCGATTACAGATTCTACGCTTGAGTAATGTTCTGGAATAAAAACCCCACTTGAAATCATACTCAAGTCCTGACTGAGTTTTGAGTAGAGTTCTAGAATACGGCTCTCAGTGTGTTGTAAAATAAACGTGAACTAAAAAAGTGTGGATAATACAATCAAATTACTGTGTTGCTGTCACTACAAATAAGTAATAATATAAAGGAGATAAATCCTAAAAAAGTAGATTGGGCCAAGTAAAAATAATTTAGTCTGGCATACTTGAAGCGTTTGTCAATAAAACTGCAATAATTTTTAAAGTAAAATCAGTAAAATATGCTACACACAAAACTAGTTATAGGTACCTGTCAAGTTCCGACAAAACTTGCAACTCCTGTGAGGTTAGATGTAGTTCTTCTTTTTCGTCCATTACAACGTCGATGTATCAGAAATTACACAAATTACAAACACTATCACAATTTAGCCATAATTGGAAATGAAATCTATATCATTCAAGAATTAAATTTTCGTGAGCGCGATAGCGTAAATTTTCGACCACAGATATTTAAACATTGAATTGAAAGTGAAACACAAAATTTCGTATTGTTTCACCGGTTTTTATACATTACAATATAGAGGTAGTGCAAGCGTCACGTGCGAGTTTGCATTATTATTTTTTTTTAATTTATTAGTTGAGCATTGGCAATTCCAGTTCACAAGTAACAAAATAATGAAACTCAAAACGTAATATTATTACTTAAAATTAAAAATTATTCAATAAAAAAAAAATTTTGTTAAACTAAAAAAAACCTTCACGTTTTCCTTCATTACAAAAAAAATAGTCAATGTGATTTACGTCTTGGTCATGTCTTGTGATAATGACATTTAGTTCATTCTGTTCTATGTTTCAGAAATTCAGATTCAGTCATTCATGTTCACTCACGTACTGTCATAGTGTCATGGCGCGCGGTTGGTAAATTCGTAAAAGTGGTTAATGCGCGTTAAAATCTGAAACATTAAATCTTATAAATAATTTTTTCGTCAATTTAGTATTTACATTTTCAGCAATTAGATAAAGAATTTATTTCAACATGAGTTACAGAGATACGGTAAGTTATATCAATTATTTTTAATAAAATCGATTACGCCACTATTATTTCATAAAAATCATCTAACTTGTTCGAATCGTATATGATGTAGAACGAGGTTATATTTTTTATGTAAGATGAGCTTTGCCACGAAGGATCGAAAATAGAATTGAACTAGATCTATTTTCACATTATGTTAGTCATGGATTCAAGGCCAAAGTGATCCGGGCAAGTACCTATACGTGGATAGAGAGGAATTGGCTTATATTATCGAGTTTAAAAAGTGAAACGAAAAGTTAATAATAAATAATTATCTACTATTGCAATTTGATGATAATTCTATATATGTATATAGAATCCATTAATGTATATGGACTGCTTCTAGTTTCGAACTCACTGCTCTTTTTACTTCAAAATACAAAAAACTTTTATCATGTAAAAGGAGACAGCTGTATGATAATATATCAAGTTATAAATTTCATGATAAGTTTATTCATAATTTAATTAAAGTGATGCTGATGATTACTATCAATGATATATTGTGCAACTTTATCACTTAGTCAATGTTTTATATCATGCAATTGCATGTAATTTTATTATGATTATAGATATAAATGTGCGCCATAACTTGCTGTGTTGCTACTGATATATTTAAAATTTGTATGTTTTATATATTTTAAAACTTACTAATGAATCTAAGCAATTCCTTAGTAAATTTTAAATTATACAAAATTTACATTTTGTACAGTTTTTGTTGCACAAAAAAGAATTACAAATTAAAAGACAAAAATAAGTTCTGTTTTATTATTTATAGAAAATTGATATATATATTATGTACACATATTTCATTTTTGTTATTATATTATTAGCTCTGTCTTTATAGCAAAATGCTAATAACACTTTTCTCTTTTTATGATAATATCTTAATCTCTTTTTGGTAGAAGAATATAATCACTTTATTAGTCTTCCATTATCACGATAAGCAATCAGCAAATATAGACCTATATATTAATAGTTTATATTAACAATAATACCTATTACTTTCATAGTATGTAATGTGTAAATTATTGCAATGTGACTTTGTCTACAATTTTAAGTTGCATTTAGGCTAATAATATGAACTTATCTTACTGTGAAAAATGGTTTGAATTGGTGTAGAACTGACGTTCTCATATCCTCTAAAACAAATTGTGTAACAAAATGGTTTAAACACTGTTCATATGGTGTTGTATTTTGTGTCATGATACTACTACAACCAGTAGGACGAATCATTACCAAATTGTATCAAACAAATCAAAGAAGTAAAGTATGCAAAAAGACATATTTATTTTATACAGTCTCAGTATATAAGTGTAATTGTCATATTGTACCATAAACAGTGTAATGAAACAGGAAAAATTCTTACAAGGAAGGGAATTCTTAGGAAATATATTGTAACCCAAAATTTATTATGTAGTTGAAGCTTAAAGTATCATTGCCAACCATTGACTTACAAATAAATGGACGACGGGTCTAATACAAAAACCACGAAAAAAATGCCCCAAGTCAACCTATTCGAAATTTAAATTGTTATGTCATCGCAGTATCGCGCTGTCCGTAGAACAAATGAAGACTAAAGCGGAGTGTCGCGCTCTGTATACGATTTTAGCGCCTTACAAGTGCGGACACTTTTTAGCGCGGACCCGACGTCCATATAATTGTAAGTCAATGTTGCCAACTAAAAACTTGGTAAAAAAAAAATAATTAATAAAAAAAAAATTATAGTAATAAACGTGTATTCAACAGTACTCACTCTACCCGAGATCGCATTCATACTGCGCCGCTAACGAACAGCGCGTAGGATCATACCTGAGGACGCTGATGGTATTTGTCATGTGGCTGATAAATGTGTGCTTATTAACAACTAACTTCATAAGTAAACATATCTAACAATATCAAAACTAGTAAACATGAAATGAAACTATGTAACTGTGATTTAGCACTGATCATAATATTTATACTGCAATGCTTAGCTACGCGCTGCTGTCCACTGAATTGAAAATTAGTCCCAGCACAGGCACATACAGTTTTATATATTTTATTTACTACCAGCAGCGTATTTGCGACTCGTCTACATTATGTATCCTACAACTTATCAATTTTGAGGGCCATGTGTTTACTCAATAATTATTTAATTAAGTAAAGTACCTTCGAATTTCAATCAGCAAGTGATGTGGGCCGCCGGCAGCCCACAAAAACTCAAGTGCGACAGGCCACCATGTATTTTCGAATTTTACCCAGCAGGCCATGTGGGCGCCAGCAGCCCACATAAACGCAAGTACAGCAGGCCACCTAGTATTTTTGAATTTTACCTAGCAGGTCATGTGGGTCGCCGGCGTACTAGAATTAGGAGTCAACTTATTTTCGATTTTTCTAGTCTTGACCAATCAAAGGTTGCATCAGCAGGCCGACAATATAAGTTGTGCGTTCGACGAACAGCCAATTGTTTGGCTGTTCTGCTAACAACTGATCCAGATCGCAATAAAGTATCGATCTCGTCCCTAGTGGTGACCTTCGTCTGTTTTTGGTGAAATCACGACGTAACGCGCGGCCTGCTGGTAAAGCTTGAATGTGCCCCGCCGGCAGCCCACACGGCCTGCTACAAAAGTTACTCGAGATTAGGCGTGGCGTGCTGTAAAAAAAAGCGTGTACCGCCGCTAGCCCACATGGCCTGCTACAAAAGTTCCTTAAGATTAGACATGGCGTGCTGTGAAAAGAATGCGTGTCCCGCGCGTCGCCCCCATGGGTTGTTGCTTCAGAAAAATCGTTTGTTTTATGGCGCTCAGAATGTTAAGCCACAAGCTGTGAGAGCCCTAATCAGAATTCTTATGCCATTCCTGATCAGTGCCAGATTTTCTACAATGTTTAGTGCAGGTGTGATAGCAGTTCACAGTGGCGTATGTCCAGAATAGACAGTCAGGAGTGTAAAGTCGTGACTTCCATCATAAATTAGAAATTTAATCCGATTATTTAGAACTTGACTACAAATGTTTAAAATGCTAATATCAGATCCATTCCTCATAAAATTATTAGGATTATTCAAAGAGCTGATTGAGCTAAAATTGTGGTTAATTAAACCAAGTCGCTAGCATCACATGGATTTCCTCTATAATGAATTTACGATATGCATATTATATTAATTTCACTGTACCGTTATTCAAAGCTTATATAAATTGAGATAGGCACTACGTTTCCCGCCTAATGTAGTTATCTCTTTGTACCGGATGTAACTATCTCTTTTGCTCATGCCCCACCACCACCGGGCCTCAAGTGGGGACCTCTCGAGGAGAGAGGATCGTCGTCTCTGGTTGTTTGGCGTCTTGTTTGTTTCCCGCAGTGAACGGACGTTGTCGTTGATTGCCACACCATTTGTCACGATACACGTGAAAAAGATATTCTTCGATTTTCAATCTATTTATATTTCATAGGAAATGAAACTATTTTTCCGGATTTAAATCGCGTATATTTGTTTTTTCAAACAAACCGACGTTTCGGGCCCTTTACAGGTCCCATGGTCACGGTCATTTCCTATGTGTAACAATCGCGAAAACCTAAGAACTCGATATTTATATTTCCTTAATCTTTTATTATTTTGATTTTAGACGTATAAATCATTTTGTGAACCTGTTTTCACGTAGTATTAACCATTACTTTTAGGTTCGCGAGACGTGTTTTTTCTTTGCAAGTTTGAACACGTTTTGAACTTAGAACCAAGCGCTATATTTGGATACATCATCGCTTCGGCAAGTAAGGTTCAGTTTATTTATGTGGTTAAGCAAATTCGACGTTCTTAGATTTGAACGTGTTCTATAATCAAAGTACTCAAAATTGTATTTAATTGTTGTAAAGCCTTTGAGTGATATTCCAACGGTTATACCTTTCGCTAAAACCCATACATTAATATTTGCGCTTCAATTTGCTTTTCGACAGAAAACAATGTTGCGGAAAATACAACCTTCGTGCACTAATCTGTTTTATGCAGAGAGCTTTACATTGGCTCTTGAAAAAGCCGGGGGCGTCGGAAAAAGTTTTTGGCCACCTAATAAACACAATGCAATCTGCCTCACAGGCAGAGCCTAACAAAGCAACTTCCTCCTCGCAGAGGTTGTCATCTTACAAAAAACCCTCGCAGGGTTTTACTAATGAAATTTTTAATGAAGTGAGTTGCTCGCAGCATCACTGTCCCAGTACACTCTCGCAGGGTAATTGCAAACACTACTGTCCCTCACAGGGCAAGGGCTTTCGGCCAAATGGAAACATTCATAGTGGCGGTATTCATGGTCGAACATTTCGAGGCAACACGAAACCCCACAGTAATTTCAAATATGGATATAAGCGCACGCAGTCACCATACACACATGGCAGAAACTACGAGCACCAGCGTTTATGTTGAGGATATTAAAATGGTACAGCATACTCTTTTGTATACAAACAGCCTTAATTCACCCAAATTCTCCCTTCTTAATTCATCCAGAAACGTCAAAAGCACTCCAGAATCTACCGAAATGACTTTGACTATAAGACAAATGAAGCAACAAGGTATCTTAGAAAAAGCCAAGCTGTCGCCCAGCTTCCCTAGTTTCCAGTTTTTCTAGTTCCCAAGAACGATGGCTCCACCCATCCACTGTTAAATTTAAAATCCCTCAACGATTTTGTAATGAAGGACATAACCGACACAGGACAGGACCGACTACTAAATGTATTCAGTAGTAACAACCTTCCTACAACTAAAGGATTGACTATGCAAAATAAATTTATCTCAGGCCTACTTTCACCTCCCCGTAGCTGATAGTCACAGAAGATTTTTACTCCTCATGTGCAGAGGGAAGTTGCTGGAAATGACATGCCTTTCAGCTTAAGCACAGCGAACAATACTTTTGCGTCTTTAACCAACTGGATAGCACTGATTCTCAGGGAGAAAAACATAAGAATCATTGAATACACAAGATTATCGAAGATTTCCTAATTGCTTACCAGGACAAAATTTATCTTCAAATAGATGTACAAATGGTTCTCCAAACTTTGGAGACGATAGGATGGATGGTCAATTACATCAAATCCATACTCAAACCTTCGAAGAGCATAATTTATCTGGGGATCGAGTGGGATCCGTGGCTGAACATGAAACGTTTGCCGAATGTAAAACTGTCTGCTTTACGAGAAAAGTTGACGCAAACGCTACAGAAAAAAAAGTTACACTCCGAGTCCTTCAGAGCCTAGCAAGCCTTTTAAACTTCGGAAGTTTCGCAGTCCCACAGGGAAGGGTCAATTATCGAGCGTTGCTGAACCAGTTAAATACCATGTTGGAAAACAAGCAGAGGACCTTCGATCATCTACCTTGCGAAGCGCTGGACAATATCAAGTGGTGGTTGGAGAACGGCGATCGCCCGTCACTAATCCACAAACCACCTCCATCTCACTTTATAACGACTGACGCGTCGGACATATTGCTTACCTAAGACACGAAGGAGGAACCAAATCAAGCCGCTTCTTGGCCTTAACGTATCAAGTATTTAGAATTTTGAATCAGCTTCAAATCCATATGGACGTATTTCACCTTCCAGAGAAATGCAATGCGCATGCGGATCATCTTTCCAGGCTACGTCTACTGGGGATCTTCTTGTGTACGCCTCTCACTTATGGAGCGAGGTTATAGAAGGGCATGGCGAAGCCATTGCAGTGTCTTTAGACATTTCTAAGGCCTTTGACAGGGTCTGGCATGCAAACCTTTTAAGCCAGCTTCCCTCTTATGGGCTTCCCAATGACCTTTGCAGTTGGATTTCGGATTTCTTAAGTGAACGTTCGATTGAATCAAGGTACCTTTGGGTATTTTTTTATTTAATAATAATTTTAATAATATCAAGTGACGGGACGAACAAGTCGTGCGCCTGGTGGAAAGCAACACGCCTATCCATAACAGTTGCAGTGCCATTCAGAGCTTTAATTCGCCAAAGATGTAAGGGGCACTGCTACTGCGCCCGTCACTCTGATGATATGCTGATGACAGGACAGTTGCAAACATGTACTTGACCATTGCAAGGGTAAGTGGAGAAGAAATCCAGTCTAGTCGAGAGTTCATGGTTAGCCTTTTGAATTTAACACTTAAGGCAGTCTCCGATTGGAGCGATGTCAATCTTGTCAAATTGAATGCTACCAACATACCACTTATTTTTTATACACCTACTACTTGCAGCAATACTACCTGCAGCTTCAGAAAAGATCTTTACCAAATGGGGAATCCCACTAATCAATCTCTTTGCGTCCAGCTGTCCAGCACAGCTCATGTGGTAGCCAATGATGCCTCCTTGGATCAGCACGATCGTCGAGCGCTATTTCACGATGCGTTTTCTCAAATATGGACCTATACTCTGGCTTGGGTTTTTCCGCCGCCGTACCTTGTACGCAAAATGTTAATTCATCTGAATCAAGCAAGGGGAGTATACCTGTTAGTAGTTCCCCGCTGGGAACGAGTTTTTTGGCGGGCAGATCTCAAATCCCGAGCACTTGCAGCTTGTTTCACGTTGAGGGACCTAGACAAAAATTTAATAGAGATGGTTCTAGAAGTGTGGAAATGTGAGGGTGGTCTAGGCACGTGATAGGCTGGGATATTAGGTTGAACTCTTGGAAGGTTTCTGGCGAGCCTCAACAAGAAAAACTTATGGCATTGCCTGGAAAAAATGGCTAAATGGGTGTGAAGATACTGTCATTGACCCTGACAATCCTAACAGTTCAGAAATGGCACGATTTTAAATTATTTTATAATACTCGTGCAATCGTCTTATACAAATCTGCAATTTGTACCCTATGTAATCCAGATCTTTCAGGTAAAATGAGCTCTCATACCTTAGTCAAACATGTTCTTAAATCTATATCACTTAATAAACCAGTGCGGCACAAACCTCCAATATGGAATATTGACTCTTTGGCTACACATATAGGTCAAATTATTATTGATAGTAATAATATTTTTCAAGTCCAGAGGCACAGGGCTACTTTGTTCTTGTTGTGCTCTGAAAGAAGGATATATGATTTGACGTTACTAAATGGTGCAACATTAGACTAGTTATTGTATACAAACAGATAATTCTAGTTTTCTGGCCTGTTTTTGGATCTAAGATCGATTCGGCGAATTACATGCAATCGGGTTGGAAGTTTACCGCAAATCCAAATAGTAGAAAAAGTCCAGTGTTTTTGATCAAACAAACTATTCAGCTTCTTCAGAGCCGTCGCAAAATGGCTCAGTGTAATAGTCTATTTGTTACATTTAGAGGCAATATCAAGCCAGCATCCCGAACAATCTTAGCGGGTTACGTTAAAACTTCGCTAAAGGATGCGAATATAACCGCATCTCCGGGAAGTAATGCGATCCGCAGTTACGTCCAAAAACTAGCTAGACAATTATTCCTTAGAGGAAATTATGTCAAGACTGTCAAGAGGCAATTGGTGATCTGAAAATACTTTTTCCAAGTTTTATAGACGTCACGACGACGGTTTCGCCAGAACGTAATAAATCATCTGTAAATGTTTTATTTAATCCAATCATCTAAACATAATTGCTTCTAATTTCTGAGATCAGTATGATAATTGTTTAAAAATTATGACGTTTTTCTTTATGCCCTTTTTGTTGATTACATTAAAATAAATTTACTATTTGCAATTTTTATTATTTACATAATAATATTGTTAACATTATAACTTTTTAATCACATTGGCGTCTCATGACGTCATCACCAGGCGATAACAAACAAGTCTCAATTTATATAAGCTTCGAACAACGGTACAATGAAATTAATAAAGGTGTTTTACCTACCAACAAAACGCTTATTAATTTACTTACCTTATTCGAACCTTGTACTTGAATCTTTGCCTGGCGAATTTTTTACTTAATCAACAACCAGTAGGGCTAGCACGATGGGGCGCGACTTGCGCGAGAATGACATAAAGCGCGATATCTCTATGCGGGAATAGCAGTATCTCGTGCTTTATGTCGCTCTCGCGCTAGTCGCGCCCTGTCATGCTACCGTCCAGAGACGACGACCCTCTGTCCTCGAAAGATCCCCACTGACCGGTGGTGTGGTGGTAGGGGATGAGCAAAAGAGATAACTAACTTAAATATAAGTAACTACACCCAGTAGAAAGAGACAACTGTATTAGGCGGGAAACGTAGTGCCTATCTCAATTTATATTTTATTATCGTTATGTTGGTAGGTATAACGCCTCTATTGTGTGGCATAACAATTTTGCTGATAATTATAGACATTGCGTAGCAATTTCGTGCATATTAAATGAATCCATGTTATAAATTGTATTGAAAATTATACCGATTTGCAATTATTTTGTAAAATTGTAATGCGCATTTTACATACGCTCAAAGTCCTTCGCCTCATAATCTAGACCCGAGATTATATTATTTATTTATCCGAACGTAAATTCAAAACTAATTATTATTTAATTGATGTGAAAGTAATGAAGTAGGTGTATTGAAGCTGTGCATTGATATTTTTACTATACTTACAGATAAGAATGTTTACTTGCTTCCTTATCTTAGAGGCGTCTATATCAATATTTGCACACGAATCAGTACGCTATCAGTGTCTTATTGTCTTTCAGAGAAAATTTACTTGAAATTTTACTAAGTACTTACTTAAACGCAAAAAGACATTAATTTTGTTTAGTGTAACTTCAATTGTATGGAATATAAATCATGGGCCAGGTAATAATAAAACACATTATAGTAAATCTGTGTACTTTATTAGTTATTTTCTATATTTCGCTATTTTGTCTACATGGAAAGTATTGTGGTGTAGTGCCTAGGGTAAACCTCCATTATACTGTAATCATTATATACTCGATGACCGTAATCAAATAATATTGTGTGAAATAAGTAATTAGTTTAGTTCACACTGAACCTCATCGACACCCGCGACCTTTCAAACATTCTTTTGCACGCTTTTATTTTGTTATCACGACTTAGTTTCCATTGCAAGCCTTAACTTTTGAGGGGCTATGGGGTCATTAATTATATTCTTAATTATACTTTTTTTTAATTAAACCCAAATTGTTTAATATGTGTGATCCGATTAGATTAGTTTTCCAGTATCCTGTAATAAAGACCAGTTTTTGCAGTGCGTAGTCCTTTATACGTGATGCAGATTTGATCCCATGGTCTGTATTTTTTATTTCTATTCATTATTGTTGTGTTGTCCAGAGTTTCGGATCTTCCCACCCGTCAGTGTTGAATTCGTTTTCGTCATCGCTCCGGTCGCGGCCATTCGCTGATATCTCGTACACTTCGACACCTGATGTCAACGAGGTCTATCCTGGACTCTTTGTTGGCGACGCGTAAGTTTATCTCTTATATAGTTGTTCTTAAAATTACTTAATAAATTATGCCCTGTGTGTGCTAGGAAGATGTAAATAAAATTGAAAATAATTGAAATTGTTAAAGAAATATTGTACGTACGTATTGTTTCTACCTACACTTGGTTTGAATCATACTTGTTAAATTGTATTGCAATAATTATAGGCAAAATTCCGTTTGTCATCATTACATACATGTACATAAGCGCACTACTAAAGATACATGTTTGCTGCAAAATTATATGATAAAGAGAATAATTACATACAACTAAATCACCTTAACCTATTTCCGTTCTATTATTGATAGCAGGTTTCCGTGTTTGCACTCTATGTTCCTCATAATGTATTCATGTGTATAGAAATGTAAACAATGTTCCAAAATGCATTTGTTGTTCCTCATACAGGGTTGCGGCCAAAGACAAGGCGTTCTTAAAACGCATGAGCATTAACTATGTTCTCAACACTGCAGAAGGCAAACGCTTCACCCAAGTGGATACGGACCATTTGTATTACCGCGACTGCCCCGGCATGCGTTACAAGGGCTTCCAACTTATGGATCTTCCATCTACCGACATATCCAAGTACTTCTATATCGCTGCCAATTTTATTGAGGAAGCACTTTCAAGTGGAGGTATGATCGACTACTTAAAATCACACAACATACATTTAACATAGCGACCAGATATTTCGATCATTGTCAGCAACTGGCTAAGATTTTCGTTTCGTTTTACAGGCCGAGTGCTCGTACATTGTTTAATGGGAGTTTCGCGCTCGGCGACTTGCGCTCTCGCATTCCTTATGATTAAGCGACGTATGAGCCTCACTGAAGCCCTGGCTACCGTTCGAGCTCGTCGAGACATTCACCCCAATGAAGGCTTTCTTCGCCAGCTTCAACAACTCGACAGGGAACTTCGCGTGTCCCGCGTCCGCTGACCTTACACCCCTATTTACCAAAAAACACTCTTCAGTGTCAAAGACGAAATCGTAAGTGGACATACTTGCATGGGTAGAAGACGAGTTGCAAGTTTAGACCGCACTTACTACCGCGAGTGAGACACTAATGAGTAATAAAATAATGTTATTGCATCTAACATTAAAATGAATTTTTGAAACTTATGTATGAACAAAAATATATTTCGGGTCTGTAATGTTTAATGTCATGACAAACTCAAGCGGAAACTAACAATGTTTATTTAATTTTTTTTTTTAAAGTTTATTTGAAAGGGCAAATATTTATTTTGCATATTTGTCCAGATATCAAGCAAGTACAAGCACGCACTGAACACAGTCTAGATAATTGGATTTTAGTGCATCCGATATGATTTGAAAAGTCTGAGAATCTATTATCAATAACATTGTTATTAAATGTACTATTTTTGACGATAATGTAATATTTTGTACACTTCTAAGTCCAATGTATGTTCTCGAGTGCCATTTTGTTTTCGTATCAAAGGACAAACCAGCTGTTATTTTTATACAAATTATAAAACTTAGATGTAGAATTTTGAACGAAGTTACTAAGTCCAGTATTTAAGATATTTCGGCTTCTTCGTTTATGGGGCAACTATGTTAAACTATAGTACAATTCTCTAGCCTTATAGAATGTGAGACGGCGTTATCGTTTTAAAGCTGTTGTAAGTATATTATATGTATAATCATGGATTTGTTTGTTATGTAAAATCGTGGATGTTGTTAAGATATAGAGTTCTTAGGTTTTCGCGATTGTTACACATAGGAAATAAAACATTGTTTTCCGGACTAAATCGCGTATACTGACTGTCACTCAGCTGTGACCATGAGACGTGTAAAAAGCCCGAAACGTTTATTTGTTTAAAAAAACAACTATATTAATACCTGGAAAAAAATAGTTTCATTTTCTATGTTGTTAAGATGTTTCTTCAAGACTGGCAAGTTCTAATAGTGATATTATAGAGTAGCATATGTGTCATTGCCTCGGGCAGTGTCACAGTTTGTGAGCACGCATTGTGTGAGCTAGCACCAGTTGCCAACACGAATGACTGTGACATTTGGCTGCACATGTGGGCCACCTTTAAATGTCTATTTTGAATCAAATCTTTTATACAGGTAATAAATAAATCGAGAGGACAGGAGCTACTTTATTGACATTTGTTTTATTTTATATTCAATTATCTTTATCCAGTGTAGTAGTAACTTTTATTAATTTGACCATATGTTGTAATAGCTGAATCTACACTTTATTTTTGGTAAATGTGATCAAACTATATTTGCAAGTGTATATGTAGATCATAAAAGGTATGTACCAAAGCAAGTCAAAGATTGTGATATGATTAAAAAATTAAATCCTTATGTTATTCACTCTAATAACATATTTTAAGTATTATAATATATTTGAATCGTTAAGTAAGTATCTAATGTATTGTTAAAAAATGTAACTTTTATTATATTATATTCGTAGATGCAGCTGGGATAGACTAGACGCAAATAATAGTACATTTTATTTTGCCTTATTTATAAATAGCCAAGCTAGTAAAATAAACCTCACAAGGGTCTAAAACTTTGGTGAAATTGATTATATATTGCATATTTTTCTGAAGGTATGGTGAGCATTGTAGTGTTTATAAAGCGGTAAGATATTGTAATTTAAAAACAACGTTAATAGTTTTAATGGGTATTTTATTGATACTGTACCATACTTAGGTATTTTTATAGTCTTAAAAGAATTAATAAAGGTATCCTAACCCTCGTACTAAGTAACTATATAAATAAACTTTACAGTGTGTACAGATCTGACGAATTCGCCGCGAATGAGCTGCATGTGCGCTGCGCGCGTGTTGAATGCGTGTAGTTAAATACATATTATTAATGTATGTGGCGCTCGAACGGTGGGCGAACCGATCGCACAACGTAACGCACGTGTGCAGTTTGCGAGTCTTTCGTAACAGGCGCATTCACCAGACCCGTACACACACTTGGCAAACTATGTTACAATGCGAGAACTAATTTACAAATGGGCCTATTCATTTAATTTTCCTGAATTTTTTTGTTTCTTGATCCGAACCGGAATTGGAACCGTCTATGGTCAATAGTTAGTGTGAGACTTGAAAGTTGCTTTACAGGCAGATAAAAGTAAAAAACAAATATGTTAAAAATCGATGTAGAAAAGGTATAATTCCAGTAACAAATGCAATGCAATGTTTACCAATATCATTTATTTATTAGATTGTAAGATTATGAAATATACTGTATCAATGGATAATTATATTTTTCTGAGAATAAAGTTATTTATTAGGATACAATTGTTTTTTATTTTTTGATAAAGAATCAAAGCCCACTTACTCAACCAGGATACTATAGAACAAGGAAGAGCCTTCATGAAAAAAGTAAAAGGCAATTAATTCAATTCATCAGCTGGACCTTGTGATGTAGAGTGTAGGATCAGTACAATGGCCTGCCAACAGTATAATACTCATACTAAAATAAAGGATCAAATCTTGAATTATGCATAGTGAAATAATTATTTAAGGTTATTTCATAGTTAAATTTATATGTAAACAAAAAAATTCTTATTAACTATAAAGCTATAATATATTAAACTACGTAACAATGCAAAAAAACTAATTTACAAATAGGGCCTATTCATTTCATTCTTTTTAGCTTTTTTGTCTCTTGCTCTTGGGAACCATTTATGTTCAGTAGTCAGTGTGAGACTTGCAAGTTGTTTTCGTGCCATCTCTGCGGGCAAACTTTTGAACACACGCTTCACTTCTTGGTAATCAGTCATTTTCAAAACTGAATCATCTTTTTTTATTTCGTCCGGTAGAGGCCTCGAATGCTCATAGGGAAATTCCTCGTCTCGATGAAGAGCAACTATTGTAGATCCATCGTCTGTCATCACAATCTTATTAAAACATCTGACAATAAATCCTCGCGGTCTAAATGATACTCTGCACATTAGCTGTGTCATGTTTTCATCAAACAAATAAAATAAAATTACTCATTTGCAAAGATAACCTCAAAATTCGTTTCGTTTTGTACTTTTTGACATAATATCAAATAATATATGATTTCATGTTTTTTTATTTCTCTAGCATAGATTTTTTTTATTAAGAGTTTGGCTTGAATATAAGTACTTTGAGCCATGTCTTCGTTTAATTATCGACCCTCATTAAATATTTTTCATTGTGGTTCTACAACATTATGTTTTCATGACCTATGCTCTCCCCAAATTTATAACCGTGATTTTTGGGGATTTTGAATAATTTGCATTGGCAACGCTGCAAATCGGGCGGGAAGAATCGGACGTGTATTTCGTCTGCCCGCAAAAGTGTAAAGAGCGCACCTTCAGACAATCGGATCGGTAATAAAATCGGACGCTTCTTTCCGACTCGGACGTTCGTCGCATCAGACTATCGGATGGAAAAAACGGACGCGTATTGTCGCACTAATAGTGGTTTGTGTATTCTACGTAGTTCATAAACTTCACGAGTTCACTAGGTAGTCTGTGAGTCTGTGGTCCATTCCATGGCCACAAACTACTAAAGTACTAATCCATGGCTGTCTTTGTCAATAGAATGTGTAATTTTGTTGTTATGCAAAAAATTACTAAATATTGCGTTGCTTCGATAAAATGGACTTTCCAGCAACTCCCTCTAATGCCTCTGACAGTAATGAATATCCAGGAGCTGTAGTTTCGCCTTTCGATAGCCTCCAAGACCATACTAAAAGACGAAGGTATATTTTCACTAAATTACTGATAATCAATGTACTATTAATTATTTTATAATCCCACTTATAAGTGTGTTTTTACATTTCTTAGTTCGTCAAGATCAATAAAGCGGCGACGTTTTGATGACGAACTTGTAGAATATAGTGGGTTGCCGGGCGCATCCATGGGCAAGGGTGACAAACGAATGAGAACATTATCATATACTACACAATTGCCGGAATTTCCAGTCGTTTCTAGTGCTCCTTCGACTCCAGTAGTACCGTCACAAGAGCGCCGCCGGTCTAGTAAGCTGTCTGTCGGAGGTAGTTTAGGGCGAAAGTCACGCCGCAAGGGGCAGCTTAGTCATTTGTCTACTAAAGACTTGGGGAGATGGAAGCCTACGGATGATCTTGCTTTGATACTGGGAGTACAACAGGTATGCTTGCTTTTGTAAACTGTAAATAAATAAGCATGTCCATCACCTTTATACCCATATAAAATATAAGAGTAAATATGTAACAATACCACCCAGAATACATGTGTATCTAGGGATCTTTGAAATGAAATAAAGCAAAGACTATTTTTAATGGAAATGTCCACCAAGAGCCAGCTCTAACCAGTGGACCGGAATGTATAGCACATATATTATATATATTATAAATATATTATTTTGCCAATTATATAATTACTGTATATAATTTATGCTATTTCAATTAGAATAAGTTATAAATTGCAATGCTCTGAAACTGATCTCCGAGCATCGTGAGGCATTTTACTCTACATCTCGGAGCATTGATTTATACCATATTTCAATTGTAATAGCATAAAATATACATTGATAATATTTAATGTCCTCTGCCTTGACGTTTGCCAGTTTGTGCTGGTCCACAGTTTGATCTAGTGATGTGACCAACAAGTTGTGGGCCTGGTGGTATGTGACATGCCTACCCATGCATTTGCAATGCCACTCAGAGCTTTAAATGTCAAAAATGAGGGCATTGCCACTGCCCCCTGAGACCTAAAATTGTCAAGTCTTATGTTCCTGTAATTTCACCAGCACTTCAAACTTTGAAAATCAGCATGTTATAATGCTCACATTACTGCTTGACGATGACAGAAATAGGTATAGTGGCAGTACTTCACTAGATTAACTTTCACAAGAAGCTCTATTGCTATTAAATTTTATTTTAAATTTCTATGATTTCAGACTAATGATCTCAGAATTGTTCATCGAGGTGTCAAATTCTCATGCCGGTTCACAATAGGTGAGCTGCAATCTCGTTGGTATGCACTGCTGTACAATCCTGATATATCCCGGGTGGCCATTGCAGCGATGCGTAATCTTCATCCAGATTTAGTGGCTGCAGTTCAACAACAAGCTTTGTATTCAACAGCTGAAGAACAATTATTAGGAACTTTTACTAGTGTATGTGTTTAGTATTATTATTTTAATATATGAACAAAGTTACATGTACTGATTTATGTAATATACAAAATTATAATTATTGCTTATAATATACATTATAAATATTGAGTTTGGGTGTAATTTGTGGTTGTCTATGTGGGTGTCCATTGCACCTGTGGCACAGGGTTTCCCTTGTCCGGGGTATGTTGAGTGCGTGTGTTATTATTATTTACTGCCTCTGTGGCCAAACGGTTACCTTGCCGGACTGCCACGCAGAGGTCCCAGGTTCGATTCCCGGGCCGGGAGAAATATTTGTATGGCCTACATTTATTTCTCTCGTGAGTTTGGGTGTAATTTGTGGTTGTCTATGTGTGTCCATGGCACCCGCGACACAGGGTTTCCCTAGTGCGGGGCTATGTTGAGTGTGTGCGTTATTATTATTATTATTATTATTATTATTATTATTATTATTCATAATTAACATATCCAATATTCAGACACACAAAATTATGAATGAAACATTAACTATTATTTGTACTTTTCATATTATGTAAAGCAGTTACTTTTACATGCACTGTTTGTGGAGACATAAATGATTATTTATTATTATTATTATCAGAATTTATTTTCTAACCATTTTTTCACGTCATATATCTTATCATTGCAGACATCGCACCCAGCCCCAGAGAAATTTCAAGAGCTATTAGAGCAGAACCCACATGTCTTCTACTCATCACGCACGGCTAAGTCTTTGATGGCTCATTGGCAATTGTTGAAACAGTACCAACTTTTACCTGACCAGACTGTCCAGCCCCTGCCTAAAGGTACAGGTAATAAAATTGCAGATTTGGTTATATTTCAAAATTTTGTAGCTGCTATACATGTTGTTGTTATTTTCGCAAAAATCATTGTTCAAACTGATTCCTAAGTCTAATGGTTACTTGATTTATTGATTTTCAAATAAATAAAATTCAATCAAATTCGAACTCATTTATTGCTTTAAATGTGATATGTAGGTACCAATTTAAAAAAAAACTGAATACTATTTCACATATTTAGCCATTTCTTACAACACAAATAGGAAGACATGCAACATGCTGTATACAGCATGTTTAATACAACATGCTTAATAAAAATATGTCAAAATGAAAAAGTTGTGCTCCAAACTTAATTTACATTAGTTTATGTTGTAAATATAAACTTCCTCACACATAACTAACTTTTACATTACATCATGTAACATGAAACCTTTTCGTATAATTTTAATCTAAGGGTCGTATTCCAGAACTGTACCCAATGCTCAAGTCAGGATTTGAGCGGACTTGAGTATGATTTCAAGCACTGAAAATCCGACCCTAATGGCAAGGACTTGAGTATGATTTTCATTGCTCACTGCAATACTCAAATCAGGACTTGAGTATTGAGTAGAGTTTTGGAATACGACCCTAAAACTTGTTGAAATATTTCATTTATGCTGTGATATGTTTTTGCTTTTAACCAATGCCTAGAGAATTAAATATAAAACTTAATTGATGGATGTTATTTTAGTGTATCAGGCAAACTATTGTATACTTTAACTCACTTTGCTTTACAACACTTAGGTACAAAGCCATTCCTGTAGTGTAGTGTCCATAACCAGTTTTTTTTATTCAAGTATTTTATAACAAATATTCATCCAAATAACAAAAAAGAAAAACAGATAAATGTATGCACAACGCAATTATGTGTTAATTCACTCATGTGTGTAAATTTGTTGTCACAATTAGCTAACAGGATTCACATGCCGCTTGTTACATTTACATCGGATCAATCTTTTAGTTCATAATGTAAAGTTGCAAAATAACAAATTTAATGATATAATTTAAGATAATATGAAAATTGATACAATATGCTTGTCTTATTTACTACTTTTTTATTATTACAGGACAAACAGAAAATGTTCTGACGTTCTCTGACGCAGAAGAAACAATCAATGACTCTGAACTTCCAGACTTTAAAGAAGATGGCATTGATGTGGAAATGCATTTGGCTGACAGGTATATTTGCAATATACTATTTATACATATTAGGAGCAGTAACAACCATTGATGTGAATACACAATGTGTTGTTTATGGTAATACACTAAACATCGAGACACTGATAACTGCCTCCGTGGCTGAACGGTTACCATGCCGGACTGCCACACAGAGGTCCCCGGGTTCGATTCCCGGACCAGGAGAAATATATATGGCCTACATTTAATTCTCTCGTGAGTTTGGGTGTAATTTGTGGTTGTCTATGTGTATGTCCATGGCACCCGCGACACAGGGTTTCCCTAGTGCGGGGCTATGTTGATTGTGAGCATTATTATTAAAAAAAATCCCAATAATTTGTACTAATAATAGGTTTTATTTTCTCTTGGAATATTTTGAAATATGTTTCTTTATCACAATATTGAACTTTTAGTTTAAAGCCGCCACAAATTTGTCAAAAGATAATTCTTGGTACAGCCATACAGCAGCACTCTTTTATAAGCATTACATCAACTTTTATTACTAATTCCTTTCATAGATTCCCAATACCGATCTCAGCCACTAGCTTGACTACAATGAATTGGCCCCTTTTACATCCATTGCAGCATTGCCTTACTAATAACTTTTTATGTTCTTTGCAAGTGTCTAAAATAATTAAGTACCAAACCAATACTATAGTTTATGACCACCGTCATCGGTCGACTGGCTTGCACACCGGTTTTCATGGTGTCCGCCATCTCTGAGGGCCCGGGTTCGATCCCCGGCGGGGTTAATGTAGAAACACTAAATTTTCCGTATTGTCTCGGATCAGAGTGGTTGTGGTACCGTCGTTATTTCCGATTTCCATTTACTTGCTTTAGTTACTTACTTTGGGATCAGGGGGCCTACCATAACCTTTCCTAAAACAATCTTATTTCAATGTAAGCTTAAAGTAAGCTTATTACGATATTGATATTGATATGACAAACCTGTCAACCAAGTAATGTATTACTGCTAAAGTGAGTGAAAGAACGAATGATTTCCCAATATTGTCTATTCCTTACTAAAATTACAAAAGTAATAACGCTATATGAACTCCATTATGCCATCCCTTTCTTTTTTGATGTTCCGAGTCGTCTTATCGTAGTATAATGTTTAAGTACTTAACGTTATTTACATTCAGAGAATTTTAACTGTTTAAAAAAAGAAAAGTATGTAATAATAAAATCTATTAAAATTATGTTGTTTTCAATTATTTTTTCGCATTTTCATAAAAAAATAGGAAAACAAACTCAGAGTCGTATTCCAGAACGTGACTCAAGTATCGCCGTGATCATCAATCAATGAAGCATTGCTTAAGCATTGATTCAAGTCTTAAGCATTTCGTTTATTCTTGAATACTATTCAGTGCTGTACTCAGCTGAACTACACTCAAGTTTTCACTTAAGTTTGAGTTGGGATTATCCATGGTTCTATGCGATTTTCGTTCATTCATTCGTATGTGTCTATTAATACTTGATTGTATCGCCTCAGTTCTCTTTGCCTTTCATTATAGGAAGAATTTTAACATTGTCAAAATCAAATACGTTACGCTGAAATTTACTATTGGAAATGAAAATTATTTATTCGCTGATCGAAAGGGATATGAAAGACTTACACTGGCGGCGATGATCGATATAATTCGTAAATTCCTATGATATTACTATTGGAAATTTTTAAACGAATGCAGTGTTTAAGATAAGTTGTTATCTATCTGCCTATCAACAAAACAAAGCTTGTATTATTGAAACTACCTAGATTTTAACTTAGAAGTTTAAATTATAACATTCTAGTTGGTCAAAGTCCATTGGCAAAATATTACACTTGAAAACGCCATTTTATAAGTTACTTTGAATGTAAGTTTTATACTTAGGAAATGATAATCTTAACATATACTCCGGAATCATATTGTAATAAAATCATATACCTACAGTTCCCCATAAAAAAATCGTTAACTTTAATGATCCAGTACATACAAACGTAAGCAAACCAGAATCTGTATCTCAGGTGCGATTGGGTAACCATGGTTGTCTGATTTCACTCATCTGCTATGATAGGTTAAATGATTTTTTTACCAAATCTTCCATGTCGTACGGATCTTGTAGGTCTTTCAACATCTGAAGCAATTGGGTTATTCATGATTGATATATTTTGATAAAGATCAAAATTCTTAAATGGTTTCATCGTAGTCTTGTAATTTTTTCGCCGATTATTATGTACTCAAGCGCAACCAGGACCTCACTCAAGTAAATACAGATTTTGACAATACTCAAGACAAGATTTTACAGTTGCATACCGTTTAAGAAACAGTAAAACTGAAACGAATCTCAAGCATTGTTCTAAAATTAAGACGCAAGCTGCCACTTCCTCTGACATTACTCAGGTGAACTCCGATTACAGATTGTAATGTTCTGGAATAAAAACTCCGCTTGAAATCATACTCAAGTCCTGACTTGAGCATTGAGTAGAGTTCTGGAATACGACCTTGAGTTTTGATAGTCACGTTGTGAATTCGGAATTTTAGTCTAGTGTCAACTGTTAATGTCGCCAAGGAGCTTAAGGATGTCGCTGTCATAATTTTACGAAATAAACATCGCGTATTTTTATTTAACGAGAAATGATTTCCTATGTACTATTATTTAAAAAAAATAAACAAAATATTGAAGAGATTTATGTAAATAAATAAGTTCAACTTCACTTTGAATCAATATTTAGACAATAAATTCGAAAATAATAAATAATAATTGGATAATATTGTTTCCACTGCGTCCGAGTAACTATTTTAGGGTCGTATTTAAGAACTCTACTCAATGCTCAAGTCAGGACTTGAGTATGATTTCAAGCTCTGGAAATACGACCCTAATGGCAAGGACTTGAGTATGATTTCTAGTGCTTTAAATCATACTCGAGTCCTGACTTGAGCATTGAGTAGATTTCCGGAATACTACCATAAGATTGCAAAATTTGATATAAGAACAATATTACTTTAATGATAAACATGCGTCGTAGTACGAACTGAGTGAATGTATAGTCACAAAGCTGCCAACGAAACATCATAGTTTTAACATTATAATAAGCTTATTTTAAGCGCGTCATGGTACGAAAATTCAATGTAAGATTAAAGTAATATTGTTTTATTAGGTTGTATTAGGCCCCCAGAGCAACGTATGTGATGTTGTTTAATGTAATGGACCAATAAATCAAGAGGACTGCTAATCGCGATACAAGACGGCGTAGTCGGATATTTAGGACTTATTGGTATACTAGATGTCCCGACGAGTATCAATTAGCTATTTTGGTTGTTTTACATTGATGAGCTACATTTTATCAAAGCGATTTCTAGTGATTCTAGTGATTACAAACAAATCAATTAGATAGCGCTTATTTCACAGATTTTTATTATTAGTGCCGGCTATTCTTTTCTTTTATTTAGAATTAGCGCCTCTACTCATATTAGCGAATGGTCATTTATAAATTACTTTGATGCCATCTCTTGATACGCATATTTGTCAAAGTTTAGAAAATAATTTATGCTCATGGTCAATATTTCAATAATAATACAAGGAAAAAACTGGCTACTTGTATTTCGTATTAAAGGGGAATTAAATGATATCCAAGGTCATTTACTTAATGTAATCTACTTCCGGGCTATCAGCGCCATCTGGATATAAGGCGGGATTTTGACCTATTTCAGAGTTACGGTATGGAGATTAGCAGTCTCTAATCTTAGGGGAGTTATGCCCCTGGGCAGAATTTTCTATGTACTACTAATCCTTATGATACATAAAACTACGTAATGATTCCTGTCATGCAATATAACTTCTCTTCCAGGATAGAGAAAAAAGACATCCGCTTACTTGAAAATTCTCTATCGCGATGGCAAGTGTTGGTGCAGTCTGTGGCTGGCGGTAACGTAGAATTAGACAAGAACACTCTTGCTGTACTGCGTGGACGACTAGTACGATATCTCATGCGGTCTAGAGAGGTGAGATAGGTTTACGTAATGTACAGTTTGTTTTTAACCGATTTCAAAAAAGGAGGAGGTTCTTACGCGGTAACTCCGGCAATTTGTGAACCGATTTTGACGATTCTTTTTTATTGAAAAGAGGGTATCTCAGTAGTGGTCTCATTTAAATTTGAAGATAATATTCTACCTCTAAGGGTGGCAAACTAGAGTATGAATGACTTTTGAGGTCGGTTTTTTAGTACTGTGTACTGAGACTATGATTAATTGTAACTGAGACTTTGTAAGGAAATCTGAAAGTATACCAGATACAGGGAAACTGTCTTAAATACCATCAAGTCTTTTTATAAACAACAGTTTTAGGAAATGAAACTATTTTTCCGGATTTAAATCGCGTATATTTGTTTTTTCAAACAAACCGACGTTTCGGGCCCTTTACAGGTCCCATGGTCACGGTTGACTGAGGTGGTACAGTCTTCAACCAGTTATGTCTAATATTGATGCAAACCACCCTATTTTTCACTATAGTTACAATAGTTATTAATTAAATACCTTATTTTAAATTTTACAAAGAAAACATCCCACTTTACGCTATATTAAGTTTTACAAATTATTTTATTGAATGAATTTTTATTAAGTTCAATTTATTATTAATTATTAATAGAAATTAGAATAAACTAAAACATATTAATTAGTACTGCAGTCTTATGTCTGTTTGGGATTTTTCATTAGAGGAAATACTGGATCCCAAACTGGTGGTACGGAGAAACCATCTTCCCTGTTGAAATTAGGATGTTTTTTATTTTCAATGGCCTCTCGCAGCATATTGGGTAGATAACGGACTTCTTTTGCAAGGACCTGGGGTTTGTCAAACTTCATTGAATGTGTAGGTTTATCCATGACATGCTCGCAGACTGCAGACTTGTTTACGCGACGGTGTTTGACATCAGCTATATGTTCTTTGACGCGGGTACAAATACTTCGCTTTGTTTGTCCAATATAAGAGAGACCGCACTCACTGTCAAGCTTGTAAACTCCTGCATCCTGTAAAGGGATGTTACATTTCACGGGTCTCAGGAACTGAGAAATCTTCCTCAGGGGCTTGAAATAGGTCTTGATAGATGCGCGCTTGAGGACTCTTCCGATCTTGTCTGTAACACCTCTCACGTAAGGTAAGATGGCAGGTCTTCGCTCGACTGTTGGTGGTTTCACACGGGGTCTGTGTCATTGGCGTGGAATTTTCAACTTATTCGCATATCTCTGCTTTCATTAAGTTATGAAAGTGAAAAGTTGAATGTCAAAAACATAATTATATTTATTTCCCATACAAAATTGCGTTATTGGCTGGTTGATTTAAAAGGATTATAAAAGAACGAGCCCTGTACCCCACCTACGGCAGGGTCGGGCTCGGTCTGCGGCGCGTGGTCGAGTTCAGTTTACGGGGTGTGCTCATGCTCTACGGTGGCACAGCAGTTAGTACTATGAGCGCTTGATGAGGAGGTTTATTCCCGATTTGAGCCAATTTAAGAAACGAACATTTCTAAGTTGGTTTTGGTCTGAGTATTGTGGGTTATGGTTGTTTTGGTATTTATACTACAGGAAATTTGACAGTAGTTTGGCATTCTTTCCCACTAAATACTGGAAAATGGAATCTAAAAGAGAGACGGTTGAGAGAGACATTGAGACAACAACGCCTTGGAAGTATGCCTTACATTTTTACAATTGTGAGATCTTGTAGGTACTCGTAATCCATTACGCCTCCGTAAATTACCTCCATGCGATGGCGTACAGACGCTTCGGGCTTCGCCCTCCTCGAACCTCGGCACTTACGACTTTGTTTCAAAAAAATTTTAAATAGATCTTTAAAGGCGCCCATATTTAAAAATTGCGAAAATATATTTTCACCACTAATTATTATCAAACAATCATAGAATTCTTTTTGTGCCAATTTTCAGTCCGAGCAAAGCAAGTTTTTACAACAGCCATTTACATAAACAATTACGGCTATATGGCAAAACGGCGGATACAAAATTTTTACCCCAAATTATGATTGAAGCCGAGCCATTTTCAGTCGAATTAGAAGACATTTTTATCTATCGCCAAATTCGCGTACAACGGTATAAATATTTTTTTTCCATCATATCGGGAAGTATGCGTTCTATTTCTATCATTGAGTAAGAACTTGTAGCTTTATATATATAAAATAGGTATTTGGAACAATATTTACTTCCTTTACACAAATAAAGCTCATACACGCATTGTATAGAGAGACATGGGGACCGAGCCCTGGTGCTAGCGGCACAAAATGCATGATGCATAGTTGCATATTTTTAACCGACTTCAAAAAAAGGAGGAGGTTCTCAATTCGACTTTTTTTATGTATGAAACTTCGGCTCCATTGGTGAACCGATTTCGATGATTCTTTTTTTGTTGGAAAGAGATACGGAAAGATTTCGTCTAGGGAAATACTGCCACCTTACCTATTTCACCTTGGGTGAAGTCCCATGTGCGTGTTGTTTCACCAGCACCATTACCCTTCAAAACCGGAATGCAGTAATGCTCACATTACTACTTGGCAGCAGAAATAGTTATGATGGGAGTAATTCCTTGGATGAACTCTTTCACAAGGAGCTCCACTGGTACTAAAATATACCTTAATTAAAGGTATACCTTTGGCTAAATTGTACATTTCGCTTTCTCTTGTATATTTATAATATACTGACGTAATATATATGTTGTAATATGTATGCTCCTTGTAAGAACAACGACGGTGATTTCTAATTCTCGCAATTATTATGACAACTTAGTTACAGTTTGCAAAGTATCCCATAGATGGCGTTACTATGTACTTTTTGCTTAGAGGATGGAAAAAACTTTTTATATTATATCAGAATGACAAACAATCAAATCATTTAATCTCACAATTGGGTTTGAATTCTGACTCGCATCTCTCGAGTTTCGCGATTTATATGCGAAATTTCATCTAAAAATTTACCATAAGCTCTTCGGTAAAGGAAAACATCGTGACGAAACCTGCACGTTTAAGAAGGTTCACAACTCTAGGAAGACGTGTGAGTCCCCAATCCGTACTAAACCCTCGCTTGAGAGGAGACCCGTGCCCAGCAGTGGGACGTATAAATGGGTTGATGATGATGATATTCACAAAATTGATCCAACATGTACGTTGAAAGTGCAGTATAAAATGCTCAATACTTTTTGAAGCATGTAATTATCTCAAGGTTTAATTAGGATAATTGTCTACAGAGTCCACATTGATATAAACGCCTACATTTGGTTTCGAATCAATTAGATAATTAACATACTGTTTATTGATTGATCTGACTACCAATTTCATTTATTGTTTCAACGCAAATGACACATGTCATAAATTAAATATGGATATATTTACACGTGTTTCATGTTATTCTTATTTTATTATTTGGCTTTACTTTTAATTATTGGATGTGTTAGCATTAAAAAGAATTCGAAAATAAACTTATGCAATCTTCAAGATTATCTACTATATAGGGATATCTATACACCGATTATTTTGACTCCTGACGCACAATATTGCTCACCTATGACAAACAACAAAATTGTTTTCGAATTCATATTAATCATTTTATATTAGTGACAGTGTCATCGCATTAATGCCCAATACTAACGCAATCTGATCTTCGAAGCAGTGTTCCTCAATGTTGTGGTTATGTCGTCGCCATGACGATGTCAGCCTTCCAACCCGACGGGTACAATCATAACATCATAACATCATAATGTCATACTGATCAACCCAACGATAATATACTTACTTTGTTTCCTGAGTAAACATTAACGTCATTATGTACCTAACATTAAAGCGCCATGTTATTACAATTTAAAAGGTTTTTCAAAATAACTGGATGACTTTGATAATGTAAAAGCTAAATTTAATAAAATAAAATTTAATATTCTGAAAACTTATTTTAGGATAATTGTACGAAAGTTCGCAGCTGGTTGATATCAAAATACCTGCCTTAAACATATTTGTCTCTAGATGTGTTGAGTTGAAGCATATTTATGTCCTAAGTTGATTTTATGCAGGTCCAAATAGTTGAGATATTTATAAGTGATGTCTAAGTAATGTACCTACTAAATACTGAGTACTTACTAGCTATTAATTTCCAACTAAAATTATTTGTAAACTTACTTTTGCTTCAGACGTGTTTCAGTTTTAAAACGGTTAGGTATAATATTTATTTATTTATAATATACAATTTCACGGTTTTATCATTAATTATATTGTAAAAACCATGAAAATTGCCTTTAAAATTAAATTTTAAAATATTAACCATTTCCCATGCCGGAGGTTGTGTTGATTTAAGGAAATAATCAAATTCGGTATGTAAAGTGCTCTTTCGTTTAAATACCTAAGAATAATCGTTTTATTGAGAAACTAGTAAGTAAATCCATATTTACTGATATAGACTAACATATTGAAAATTATTTCAAAACTCGACTTGACTCTATTTCTTTCTCGTTTCGATTGCTTTTTTAATGGTACTTATTGACTATAGTCCATTTGTTTAGGTACTTAAAATGTAAACAATCTTGAGATATATATTTAATGAAATACACATTTATAAAATGATTTTTACTCACCTTCAAATACAAAATACAAATACTTAGCTCCACTTGAATTTCCATGCCTATTTTTATACCTATTGATTTGTAAAGTATATGTTTCAATAAAAAGATGTATCAAGATTGTTTACATTTAGCTAAATTCTTAAAACAAATCGACTATATAATATAATCTTGCACATCCAAAGTCTATTTTTCCCCTAATACTTTCTTAGGGACGTAATTTGTGGTTGTCTATGTGTGTGCGACACAGGGTCTCCTTAGTGCGGGGCTATGTTGTATGGCCAAAACTTAGTAATTTTGATTATCATATCTAATCTATTTACATTATTTTAAAATAACTCCAGAAGTTTAAACTGAGTCCATTCCAATCTAAGGCTCGTATTCCAGAACTCTACTCAATACTCAAATCAGGACTTGAGTATTGCAGTGAGCACTGAAAATCATACTCAAGTCCTTGCCATTAGGGTCGTATTTCCAGTGCTTGAAATCATACTCAAGTCTGCTCAAATCCTGACTCGAGCATTGAGTAGAGTTCTGAAATACGACCCTAAGTCATAGCAGTGGTGCGTCGTTACAATGAACTAGAAACATTTTCGAGGAGAAATGTGTCGACAAATACAAATTAAATATCGATAATTCTCATTGAAAGTCATTGGTAAGATCAATAGATGCCAAATTCGGCGGTGCAGCTAATTATCATTTATTTACACAATTAATCAAAAAATAGAAATCAATCAAAATAACTTCCTTCAGATGTAACTTTAATTTGAAATTAGATTTTCAATAGGTATAGGCATTAAATTTCTTCATTCGTCACTGAATCGATTATACATTTTATTGCATTCGAAACGTAAAAAAGAAATAAAGTAGGAATTTTGTTGTTTTACTTTATTGTGAAATAATCATGGCTACACATAATGCTGTGCGACACGTGTCGGTAAACGTTCTTTTAAATGCCACCAGTTGATTTAGCTACCATGTACTTCTGACCTGTTGTACTGTGTATGCTTATCGATATCGACTGGTAGAGAAGTATTCAATGTATTGGTGTCAGGGGCTAGCACGTCAAGGACAAAGCCTACCCTTAATGACACGGTCAACCGCCCTCCGCGACCCCCAAGCCCCCCTGTGCCCCGGCCTGCCTGCGACCATATGGCAATGTGCCACCAGTAACATAATGTACTTTCTCTTCACTATCCACTTTTCATCGCTATAAAATATTGATTGCCCTCAATCCAATAAACTGTTCTATAATTCCTCTTGAACGTATTATAAAATTAATTCTTATCATGGTAATTTACGATAATGTAATTAGGCATTACAAATCCTGTCTTATCATCAGATGTTTAAAATTTCGTCATTGGTTGAGTCAATTGTTCATATCGCGACATTGTTTTTGGCAGAAAAGTCGACGTTCACACATAAGACAACAATATCCGAGTAACCATTTTTTTTTGTTCTTTTGGTCACAATGAAATCCATGTGTTCCACATTTTCACAGATTCTTGATTTGATCTAAGGTTTACCACGTCGTCGTCGTCGCCATTATAATTATGACCTCTGTACACACAAGATGTCAAGTTTTAGGCATTTTATGATTAGTTGTATTTTATAATTTACATGTTGATTACTGTATAAAATCATTGTCGCATTCTTGACGATATTACTTCTCAACGAAAGAACAATGATAAAATTCTATACTAATTCCAATATTTGTTTAGACCGATATTCCCCATTGAATTATATTGGCCGAAATGAATTGGTTCGTTCCACGTATCCCAAGTAAAGTCATTGTGTCATTGTTTTGAGAATCGAGCACTGTTTAAGTCGGGTATGTTTACACAACATTCCAATACAACACTACTATTGTTTGACGCTACCAATGCAGCAGATATTCAAAACATCGGTATCAACAGAGGATGGAATGGAAACCAATGGAACTTGGTCAATGTCCGGTGAATCCGCGATGTTTCAGCTTCTTATTACTTGCCGATTTAGTTTCATTCTTCATAGCTGTACTTTTTATTGCCAAAGGTAATAAGTGCTGTACTTATTTGTAGTTGCCGAGTGATTTGCGATCAAGAACTTTACGTATACTTCACATGGTGTGCAAATGTAATTTACATTTATTAGCAATATATATTTGATGTGAGTGACCTTAAGTAGCGGGAGCGAGCGCTACCTTGTTTTTTCTTAATTTGACTTAAACGTTAAAATCGCCGTACATTATCAACAGTGTTCGCAAAGTATTACAAATATTACACTATTTTATTTCTTTGTAGATAACAAGTTTCTTTTAATTTAATGCAAAATTGTCGAATTCCGCGCGTGAAAAGCCTTTATGCTTTTTGATAACAAAAACGGCACATTATACGGTAGGTTCAGTTGGCTGAGTGGAGATAAGAAATTATAAAACTCCATGTATTTCGTAAATTAAATCGAGTAGTGTTTTAATACCGTGAAATGAGTGGTATCGGAAACTGTTTGATAATACTGTAATTACCGAGGTACTATTAACTGCTAAAGGTATTTTTATAGCTTGGTTTATTTATATTTCCCCAATAATAGTAGGTTCTCGAGTGAACAAAAGTTGTAAAGAATATGCAGCAACTTAGATTTGATCATGAGGAAATTGCCTACAATCAATTTAGATTTCAAATGATTAAAGTTTTATCGTCCAAATTACTATAGTTTTGTCTGATACGAAATTTACGGACCACTGAATTTCAGATAAAATCTGATTATTTGTGCGTACAGACGAACGCGCTGAAACATTGTAGTACGCGTTGCAATAGCACAAAATAAATATTTAACTGTGCGGCAAGGTGTACTAAAATTATTTTAAAGTCCATTTCAGTTGAATTTCATGCTTCGATACATCCTCGCGATTAATATCGCCGGGTTAGATTGTGGCTCAGCATCGTATTGTTTCATACATGTTTCAAAGCAGCACAATCAAGGAAATCAGCGTTTTTATCGATATGCGTTGTTCTCGACGTGTATTTATTTTATTTTGCCACTCACTGGGTTCAGGCTGAACGTTTGTTTTGTCCTTATCGTTTCTGTAAAACCCATTGTTGTTTTCCCTCTGCAAATTTGTAAACATGTATGGGTAATTACCTCGCGAGGACAAAATGAGGATGCAGAATTGTGAATAACAGCGGCCACAGTACAAGATTATTCAGACCTACACCCGAGTAAAGTCTACTATACAATGACTAATAGGAGTCACGGATTTTATCGATACTTTACTAATTTCGTCTACTATGTCAAACAGCTATGAATAAATAAGCAGTGTACGACATAACGGTCACTTTCGGTCAAGTTACAGTTTAAGTACAGATTGCTGCGTGACAACCGGCTTTAGTGTTAATTTTTCATATATGTATACGTAAACCATTAGCACTTCAATGTCGGAAATGTTGAGTTTCCAAAGTTCAGAGTTATTGATTCAACATCGACTCGACTTACGACTCGATCGAATTACGACATTTTGCTAGTTAACTTTCAATTCTCTCTGAAGTGTACCTACACCTTTAGATTTGTATATCTGGTAGCTAACAGCTCAAGTTTCCTGTATGTAATATTTTTAATTTTAGCCGGATGATTTTATTAAATAACATAATATACTTCCTCATGCCAGTATGCCCAGCTATTGCGTCAAGTATAATATACCATTATTGTAATATTCATCTGAGTTTGAGCTCTTAAATACGGAACTGAGCTTTTAAATACGCAGTCAAACAGACGAATCACAGATATTTAAAAGGTAGGTTCTTCCTCTGTTAAAATTTGACATTGTCAGGAATATTCGCGACTAGGTTGAGAGAGTTAAGACACTACCGAGTACGTGCATGTACTCGTACCACGACTACTTTATTACACAGTAAAGTAAGCACATTAATTTGATAACTCGAGTTTAATTGCCACAAGGACTTGATAAGGATGTTGTTTTGCCTGCCGTAATCGCAAATGACGTGAAACTACTGATTGCGAAATTATTAAGGTACTTTATCTTTACAAATTTTTTATTGGACTTTATCATTTGTGCAAGACACTATCACTTTTTAAGACTTCGGTCGAAAGTATTCCTGTGTGTTAGTTATTCAAATATGTCGTGTTTCCTAATTTGAATTTGTTGAAAGTTGTTGTTCCTTTTTTGTTCTAAATGTAGAAATTTAATTCATCGCCTTGAACAAAGTACGTGGTGCTTAATTTATAAAGCAAATTTTACATGCAAACAAACAAATCCAACGCAGCGTCGTGCAGTAAGCCGCTCGTATAATTCGATTGCTTTGTAACGACTACCATCATGATGTGAGTGCCGCACGGCAAATTTTTGCCATCGACAACTCTATATGGATTATAAACAAAACAACTCAGCAAAATTTTTCTTATAATCTTTTACTTAATAAAATGTCCTGTATGCATTTGATGATGTTACATCCACAGGGTCAACTTATGTCTCAGGATAACGGGCGCAGTGGCAGTGCACATCAGTTCTTTGCGATTTAAAGTTCTGAGCGGCACTGCAACTGTAATGGATTGGCGTGTTTTTTTCTTCTAATAATACCAAGTAACGGGACGAACAAGTCATGCGCCTGGTGGTAAGCGACATCCTACCTATAACATAAGATTTGCAGTGCCGCTCAGAGCTTTAAATAGCAAAGATCTTAGGGGCACTGCCTCTACGCCCATCACCCTGAGATATAAGTTGACAAGTTCTATGTGCCTGTAATTTCACCAGCACCCTTACCGTTCAAAACCGGAACACAGTAATGCTCACATTGCTGCTTGGCGGCAGAAATAGGTAATGTACTTCCGTGAACCAACTCTTCCACAACGAGCTCTACTGCTACTGAAAAATTGTATCGCTTACCACTAGGCGCACAACTTGTTCGTCCCGTCACTTGATGTCACGAAAATATAAAAAATCCTTAATAAAATATGCACTATAAAAGTGTATTACGGTGAAACGATTTAAAATAACGGACCGCGAATATAGGTCGTTGTCGCTTTGGCGACCATTCTTTTTTCTTACTGCAAGTACTAGGTACGAATAGCGATATTGCTATACATTCCGGCGACGAACAGCTGCGTAGAGCCCTATGTCCAACAGTGGTAGGGTGATCGGGATGGAGCTGTAATACGACATGTAGGTGAGGAGTTACTGAGTAGTGTTCAAATAATGTGAAATTGTTAGATGATTTCATTTTATACGTATATAATTAAAAGTGAATACAGTCGTACGACCTTTGTGTATCAAAAACATTGCCGTATTAAAAAATGATCTGGGTAATTTTCAGGTTAGTTTTCTCTACCTGATTTCGGGGGTAGTATCGTTAAATATTAAATAATATTTCAGGTTACACTCGAATATTAAATTAAGAATATTATCATGAAGTATTATTTTATTTATTATTTTATTGAAGAATTATTATATTTAAATAGTAAAAATTGCCACCGAAATTAGATAGAGAAAACTAACCTGAGTGTTACCCGTCTTTGATATTGTATTTATTTACTTTGATTTTTTATTCAAAAGTATGTATTCATAAATTACAAATTGAATAATATAATAAAATCGTGTACATAATTAAAGTTTTCGTTTAGGTACATTATCTAAAATACTAATAAAAGCGCACTGTTCATATTTAATCAACGTTATAAGCCATTATAAATAGTAGTATTTGTACTCCCTAAGTAGACGAACTCGACGAAATGTACTTGAAAACTGGATGCTACTGACCCTACTTATTTTTAGTACGAACGTACATGTATATGTTAAGGATGTTTTAATTGAATAATTGTACATAATTAAACGTTACTTACGCATTTCCTACGTGTGTTGTAGTTACGTAACTTTTTTGTGGTACTTATTCGTAGTTCGATTCTCTAATGAATAGCTCGCTTTGTTTTTTACGCTTTCGGGTTTTAGTCGTTTTGTAGGTATTAATTAACAATACTTATCATAATAATTAGTACTTTATAATTGGTAACAACACGTTTAGAACGTTTTGATAAATTTTATTTAATCAATAATTCTACCTACTATTATTAAAGTGATTGATCAACTTCATTTTGCGAATAACGTAATGAACTCTATTTATTTGACAAATTTCTTTTACAATAATATTTATTTATACTATTTTAAGACTATATGGTAGGTATATATAAATTCTCGACTGAGCATTATATACTTATGTTATGACAAAAAAGTCGTGTTTTAAAAACAGCTGAACAGGAACATTGTATTCGTAAATGCAACAAAAATGGATTCTCACCGAGCACTAGCGTTTTGTGACCTCGCAAAGTTTTCCTCCGAAACTCGACCAAAGAAACCAACTCTCCGAGTGACGTCGACTAAAATGATTATATTTTTAGATTGTGCAAATAAAATATTCTACCTTAAAATATTTGCTTATCAAAAAGATTAAATTCCCGATTGAAATTATTTTTAAATTATTGTATTTGAGGATTGTATTTCTAATGCCCTACTTAATATTTGTTTTTCAAATCACGCTTACCTCTTTGAGATCAAAAATGAAAATGTAATGTATGCATTTAACCACTATGTAGGAACTGGACGGTTCGCTTTCCGTAGTCATAGTTGAGTTGTGTACTTCAGCGCCAACTGATAACGTTATCTAATGAATTAACGTGTCAACAAATATATCTGGTTTGTTTCACCACAGTAATAATGAGCGATTGTACTGGTATGGTTAACAAAAAGATTTTGAAATTACATTTGGTACTATTGTCCGTCAAAAATATTTTAGGTACCTATTGATTAAACACGCTTCTCCAGGAGAGAGAGATAGAAATAAAAGCAACAATATTTTAATTGTCAACTAAAGTACCCACAAAACAACTGCTCAATTCTATTTGAGAGTGTTGTCGGTACCTACACATGACTCGTAGGTACTAAGTTATTAATGTAAAATACGATAACAATCAAAACCATTCGACCATAACAGGCTACATTAATGCGTTTCCGATTTCAATAGTGGTTTAATTGCAGGGTACGTTCTCGTTAAATACCAATTTTACGCAAACTCTACGGATGGTTAGTTATTCACTTGGCATGTATTCCAGTCCTTCAGGATTCGATTTGCAATCAGCGCAGCATTGATAATGCAGTTACCCACTACACTGGTACGGTTTTGTTACCAGTTAGTACTGACTTTATGGCCGAAACGTGAACTTTTACGGCCGCGTCTTTCATCAACAGTTATCGTCTTTCTCTGACCTTGTAGGAGTGTCCATGCAAGGTTGAGCAGCTTATTTGTTTTTTTAGCAGTCTGTATTAATAAGGCGTATCAATTAACAGCTGTGCACACGAGCCGCTATAGTAATTAGTTCAATACCGGGCGTGGTGACGAACGTTAAGATTTTTCAATCGCTATTTCTCGCCACATTTTTACGACAACGGCTTCAAAACAGCGCATACGTGCCTATATATTGTACAAGTACTTCTTTACTGCATACTCGAATTTTGATATTGCGTTGCGGCTCCAGTTTCACTAAAACGTAGCTTATTATTAAGTGTATATATAGTATACATTATTATTGAGTGCGGATTGACAATTTGGTTATCTTCATTTATTATTTTGTTGTCAGATCGCTGTTGGTCGTAGTACGCGCGACCACACAATCGATGTGGACCTGAGCCTGGAAGGTCCCGCCGTCAAAGTGTCCAGGAAGCAGGCTACGATCCGTCTGCGGAACACCGGGGACTTCTTTATGTCCTCGGAAGGGAAGCGGCCGATATTCGTCGACGGTCGACCTGTGCTGCAAGGCAACAAGGTCAAGCTCAACCACAATAGTGTCATTGAGGTACTATTGTCATCCCTTTTTTCATAACTTACCTACGCGTCTCGTATGTTACCTAGACTTCCATAGGGCTTATGAATACAAACGCCAATCTGTTCCAATCAATGACACATTTGCCATTTTAACTAATTATTGTGTTTGTCCACAGATTGCCGGTCTACGTTTCGTGTTCCTTATTAACCAAGACTTGATAAGTGCCATTCGGCAAGAAGCTGTAAAAGTGACTATTCCGGTTTAAAAGAAACGAATAATTTGGAAAGAGAAATAAATACATTTGTGTAACAAAAACAGCATTCTTATTTAGAACACATTTATTTGGTCAATTTAAAACAATTCTCAAAACTAGGTACATTCAAAAACAGAATATGCCATTAACAATAGTCTGATTGCACTAACACAGCGTTTTCTATTATCGTAACATTCCACTCAGCGTAGCAATTCATTTCAGAGCAAGTGTGTGACATTACTAGATATTACGTCTATCACGAAACACTATCACCTGCGGTTACTGACGAAAAGATATGTTAACATTAAACGACGAAACGAACTGTAATTAATTATAACTTATTTAATAAATCCATAACCCTTATTATTTCATAGTGCTTTAACCTCATTAAACATTTAATAGTAAATAATCACAAAATTCAACAATGGCCAACAACGTGCAGGAAAATAAATCGAAAACCACTCAATAGTGCATAACAAACATACATTTATAAATCAATAACTTTCAAAAAAGGGTAGGAGCATATTTACAGGTGAATTACAGTCAAATATTATACATAACAGGTTGCACTTAACGAACCGTATCTAAAATAATTCGCAAATAATCAAAATTGGGCAATTTTCTTTGGTCTAAAGAGTTCCAACACCATTGTTTTTAAGAATGCACATTGAATTAATTTGGATATGGTACGTTGATTTACGGCAAGTAAATCACAAAATTAACTACTAGTACACTAAACACCCTTCAAAAAATTTTACTTTTATTTTTGTACATTTATTAATTACCCGTACAGGGTAAAATACAATAAATACTATGTATCCTTAAACTTTAAAATAGCCTTCACATATACATAAAATGTATAATAAATAAACATTGTTCAATAAAACACTCAACATTCAAAACATCAATGATTATTATTAAATTATTATATTTCATAAACTTAATTTTCTCTGCTAAAAGGTAACACTTGCTAAAACTTATAGGATTTAAAAGCACATTATTTGGTATATTTTAACACCCTGTACATAATATAAAAATAGTGTTACATATATACATATAACTTGGTAAACTTGGTTTAGGCACAAACATGCAAATATGAAATGGCGCATGCCATTTTGTAAGATATGAGATCAGTAAAGTATACTAGTCTCCAAAAATCGGATCGAAGGACTTAATACACAGTTTAATATCAGCTCATTACAAAGGCACTATATTATACGACATGCACAATAATAATAACATTTTAATTCAAGGCGTGATTTTACGCAAAACATTGTAAAAAATACCCGAGGCACTCAGTATATTTCAATCTTATTAACAACAGCAGCCGAAGTCTACTTGCAAAACACTTATGTTCGTATATTTTTACAAATCAATTTCAGCTTGAAATAAAATGAAAATAAGGCGTGATGGGAGTTCTTAGGTACCTATTTATATATGACAAGTACCCCTGACGTTAACAGGAAAAGATCTCCATAGCAAGTTAATATCATATCCCATCAATATGTTGATCACACCTTATTATACATTGCACATACACACAAGGCAATCAAACACAGAAAGCGTATATTATGTAGCATTAGGGCATGTGAGTAAATTGAATAATATGTATTTAATATTTTTGAGTATTGAGGTTGGGATTATTTCACGTTTGTTGCTAATTATTGCGGCGTACTACTTTAAGGAAAGCATTTATTATCTAAGTCTTTGGAACAAAATCTTTTTTTATATAGTTTTTATTTGTTGTAACACGCACATTGTTAGCAAAAGGAACATTTAATTCATTTTTTGGATTTTTTCACATTTTATCCGAATGGAAAAAGATCGACATATTTAAAAACAATGTCTTTAGAAGAATGCTGACGATTAACACTTAGTGCTAACAAACCACATGCCTATGATACACAACGATATCCACGTGCTCTGTTTGTACTTTTAATAAAGTTAACAATATTGTTTTTACATTCACTCTATCGTCAATATTATTATTACATTATTTCCTGCGATAGGAATATTATGTATGTATGTGCTTATAATTTACGTGAGCAATCAATAACCATCGCATTTGCAATTGGTCGTAAAAATAAATTATCTACTATACAGATAAAAACCTCTCTTAAAAATCATATTAATGACAAAATTACACACAAATAGAACAGTGTCTGACTGAACGCTAATTTATCGTTAATTGAATGTGTTATAATGTGTATCTACACGTCCTTAGCAACTCACCAAAAGATGCACCATGGTGGTGCGGGGTATTTTAAATATCCTACTCATTATGAGCAAAATAAGACTATACAACTCCAACAAGAGAATAATTCTCATAAAACAAAGTTTTAAATTAAATAAATAAAACAAGTTCTCTTTCTGGCTACTAACAAAGTGCTTAAATAATGCCATTTAATAAATTATTTGTATATTATTATTAATCTTATTATCTACGATCTGTTGGAAATGGAATGAATTTTATAGATGAAACATCTTTATAAACTTTGAATCTTCGTAACAAAAACATCAGATCAAAAACAGCGCCACGAAACTCTAAAAAATTATACTACGTTTCTATCTTTGTTTTCATTTTCATATCACACTAGTCAAGATTTTGGCTTAACATTCATATTAATACTAAAATACTTAGTGAACTTCCTTGGATAACTAATAAATAAAATCTACTGGAATCGCAGGAATGTAAATACGAGACCTTTGGGTGGGATCCTTTAGAATAATAGCCAACAAATGCGGCTGACTAAGTCTTAAAGCAGCTTTACTTCAAACAAGTCACCTTTAGAAACTATATTTGTTTTAACTTTATCGTGTACTTTAGTTGGCCCGAAATAGAGTCGTTTAGTTTTGGTTGGGATATGACAAACTTTGCACTATTAACTGATCTATACTTTCGAAACTTTTCAGCTAAAACATATTCATTTTTTCTATAATTAAAAACAGCTCGTGTTTCTTTTTTTAGAGCCATTTTATCTATAAAATTGTTTCTTTCTATAAAAACCCACGGTTGCCATTTTCTGCCAGTCAAATCAGGATTGTATTTATCCTTAAGATCTGATGTGCTGGCGTAATGAGAACCATTTCCGTTTTTTTTAATTACTACTTTCGGAACAGCTTTTTTTATCTTTTTACTATCTTTGTGTTTTTGTACTTGAATTTCATCTATACTTTTAAGCACATCTTCAAATTTTGGTTTAGGTTTCTTAAGAATTTGTTTTCTACAAACAGTGTTACTAGTTTTTGGGATTGATTTTGGTTTCTCTTTGGCTACTTTTAATTGTTTTAATTTTAAAAGACTATGTTGTGGGAGGGGCAATTGAACTTTAAGATCACGTATTGATTCTTTTAATGGCGGTATATACTTCTGGGCAGCTTTTGTTATTAAAGGTCGCGCCGGTAAATTATTATGGGAACTTATATAATCTTTGTCTTCTGTGTATTTACAGCTAATTCGGTTTCCTGAATTAATATTGTTTATTTCCGATATTCTAGATCCATTGTAATTAGTTATTTTAAGCAATATAGAAGAATTTTTATCTTCTGATGTAGTCGAAGATACTTCTGGGGAGCTAGAAATAACACACTTTGGACTTTCTTCTCGTTGAACATAAGAAAATACATTATCGACACTCGATTCACAGGAATGGATAGTTTGGTCCTGCGTTTGTTCAATCGGTATTTTTGGCATTTCCTCGGGTTCTTTTTTCTCCACAAACTGGCTATGGTCACTGTTGTTAAATTTATCTCTTGAACAGTGAAACAGTGAAGAATTGTCCATATTATGAAATTCACTGCAGTCATGTACATTTTCGCTGGTTGCGGGCGTTGAATAACTCGGATTAGTACAATTCAAATTCTGGGTTTCCTCTGCTATTTCAGGAACTATATCTTCATTAACTGAATCCGACAACACTTTTTCTAAGGATTCTTTGTCGTAATACCTGTTACATTCTTCCATAGCTTGAGATTCTCTGTAAACAAGTGTTCTGTTAACATCCATTTGCGGAGTCCTGTACAAGGTTTCCACCAAATGAGCATCATCACTGCACATTTTATCTCCGTATATGTACTTAACCTTATCTGTGTGGTCACCGTAAATGTCTACATCATCATTCAATTCTTCATCTATGTCACTGTCATTTTTCGGTGACGTTGATGCACTAATGACTATGTCTTCTGCGACGTCTTCACTCACTACAGTTTCAACATACGCTACATCATCCACCCAAGTTTCTTCTAATGCTTTATCTTCGTGCTCACAAGGCGCAGCAGAAGGTGAAAAGATTATATCATCAGGGAACGTAACTTCTTCAGTTGTCTCATCAATTACTTCGTCAATTCCACTAATAATATTTTCAGAACTATTTTCTAGACAAGGCAAGCAGCCTTCACGTATTTCTGCAAAACATATTTTTTCAGTTTCTTCTTCTTCGGATATTATACAGTTATTTTCAATTAGTATGCAAAAAGATACATTGTCTTCGTTATACATCGAAGACACTGAGTTCCTTCTATTCTGCTGAATTAGATTACAGTAACTGTCTGGTACAAAATGAGTATCTGCTAAATTTTCACTGTCATCGACTTTTTGTCGCTTATTTGACCACAGTAAAGGTTTGTTATCACAACCCTCAAAAACATTGTCACAGATGTCATCTAAAGCGGATTCTGACAGTGATCTTTTTAAAGATTTTTTCTTTTTATACCTGTAGTTACTTGAGTACTGCACTTTTTTGTTTTGATCTATTTCGAAATTGGTAGTTTGAGTTACGTCTTGCGATGGGTCGGTAAAAATTTTATTTTTGCTCTCGTTACAAGAACTGGTAGCTATTTCTTGTATATTATTCACGTTTTCCAATCTTTCATTCACACAATGAATTTCATTCGCAGACGAGTGTTCGTTTATATCTCCTTGTAAGTCGTAAGAACTTTGATTCGGAATAACACTATCTTCAAAATCAAGGATATAATCGGTTTCTACACAATTATTACTTGTATTGGAATCTTCATTAATATTTTCGTCAATTCGATCATTGTCACTTTTTTGTTGAATTGTATTTTCTTCGTTATTGAACTTTGGCGCTTGTTCTCTGTCTGCAATAACATTTTCCAGCTTGGGACTGCCAGGAATAATTATTTTATCCGTTTTTGCCGGAGATAAGGAATTATCAAATGCAATAACTTCTGAGGAAAACGAATTACTATTTAATTCTTCAATCGATATTTCTGAACTCAAAGTATTAAAATATTGAGTATTCATTTTTTTCATGGTTTCAATTTCCTCATTTTTATTAATAGTTTCCTCACTTCTATTTATAGGATACTTTGTTGATTCATTTGAATCGACAGCATTGGTGGTCGAGAACGGAGGAACTTGTACTTTAATTACATTGTGAACTGTACAATCCTTAGGGTGTAATAAAGGCTCGCCTTCAAATTGAGTGATATTTTTGGAACTCAAGCATGGTTGGACTTTAACATAGATTTCGTTCTTTATGGCGCCAGACGGTTTTTCAGCGTACTTGTCATCATTTGACGTATCATTGATCACACTAGTTGTATCAGTATCAGTTTCCGATTCAATGCTATTGTTTTTTGATTGCGTGATAGCTACTTCCACTTTTTGAGAATCGTTTGTTCGGATGGTTTGAGTCAATTTTGTTCCAAGTGAAGGAATATTATGTTTCTCTGTTTCTTCATTTATATCGAGGTTTACACTTTCATTTTTGGGATGGTCAATTCTATTCAAAACGCCATCTCGCTTGCAGTCATTACTGTCATCTTTTGTATCTTTCCAATTCGACTCAGTACTTATGATCAAATTGACATCACAATGCGAATCACCATCTGAATCACTTGCTGTATTTTTTACTGATTTTGAAACGTTCACAGGAGAATCTTCTACTGCTTTAAAATCAAAATTCTTAGGCGAAATACTTCTTTCAGCAGATTTATTGTCGAATAGATCGAAACATGAAATTTCTCGATCAGATGAGTCACTGTTCAAAACTTCGGTTCGTCTCCTGATTAGTAATGTTTCTTTGATAATCATTGCGTCTACATTAGATACTGTCTGCAGTTCGTTTAAACAAACGCCTTCTTCTAATAATAATAATTTTTGGATCTGTGGTGAAAATAATTCTTTGTTAATTTTATATTTAGCGTGAGTCAAAGCAGTCCCCTGTTTGTTCGTTGTTACTTCACGACAGTTAACTTTTCGTTCCATATTTTTATCGGAATATTTTATCTCTTTCGACCGAAAACAATCAATCTGCAATCTTAATTCCTGTTTATCTTCTGGCTTCTCGAGATCACAAATTATATTAGAGTCTCGTGGTTCTTCAGAAACACGAACCAATCTTCCTGTTTTATCTTCCCCTTGTGATTTCTCTAAAGTACCGATTGATTTGTACGTTTGTCCTATATCATCTCCAAGAAGTTCATTGAAATAAGCTGACTCGTTAATCTCTGATGATGTAGTGGGTGACAAAGTATTTTCTGTGTTTGGTGATTCTTTAGACACACATGCTAGGTCATCTGGTACAAAAATCGTATTTTCTACTTGCCGTGGTTCTGTAGGAATATTAGAAGCTAAAGGAATTTCTTGTATTCCATCAGGTGTTTCTTGTAAGTTTACAACTTCTTGCACTTCTTCAGGAGTGTTAACTAGATTTGCAAATTCTTGTTGCTCTGCACACAGCGTTTTAAACGACATTAAAGTGCTGATAAGTGTGGATTTCTTAAAATCGTCGTGAGCACTTGAAATATGTGCTTCCTGAGAATCCTTAGGCACATTAACGATATTATTGATTTCTTTGGCTTCTTCATTTTCATCTGTTTGTTTTGATGCGAATGTGAGCGAACAATCTACTTTATCTGTTTCTTTCAATTCATTACAGAAATTTGTTTTAAAAGTCTTTATTTTACGTGATTTCTTTTTTTCTCGCCTTTTTTCTACTTTACAAGCTTGTGGTTTTATTTTACCGATTATACCCTTATTTGTGCTCATTTTGCTGTACAACGCTGGTTCATTGGATTGTTTCACGTGTTGCATTTCGCTTTTCTTGTTCACGACAAGGTCAGTTTTATTGTCACACACATCGTTATCTAATTCTTTAATTCTTTGGTTAATTGCCGAATTAGTTTGTGTCAACTTGGATTTAAAATTATAATTTTCTGTGCGATTTTTATTTTTATCACACAGCATAAATTTATTTGATGAAGTTGCAGAAATTGTCTGTAAATCTTCGGTAACACTTATTTCATTGTCCTTTGTGACATTGTTATAATGAAATTCATCTTCAGTTTGATGCAATTTTTTATTTCCTGCATTTAATTTCGAAAGATTTCCTGGAGAAGTACTATTTTCGGACTTTTCTACAACATTATTTATTTTTTGTTCAGTGGCAAACACATCGTGACCAACAACACTGTCTATCGTATTAGGTTTGCACGAGTCGTATTCGGGAGCTTTAGAATCTGGTAAAATATCAGGAAAACTGGCATGAAACGCACTTTTTGGAACTTCTTCGTTAAATAAATAAACTTCATCTTTCTCTTCACTTTGACGCAGATTTGTATTGATTTTGAAGTTTGGTAAATTTTCTTTGGTGTTGCAATGCTCTGATGAATTTAAACTGAAGTCGATCGCCAGATCACTGGATTTATTCAATATTGAATCCGCTTCTTGGACATCGTTATGTTCAATAGTACGATTATCAATGGTGACTGTTAAATTGATGGGATCTTGCTGCGCATCATTTGTATTTGGGGAGTTGGACAAGCATTCTTCTTGATTTTTGAGATTTTCTGGATTTTTTATTATCACACTATCTGTCCTCAGAGCTTGAACATTTGTTTCTGTAAATATTTCTTTAGGCCCGGAACCTTTACGTTTTAATTTTCTATATTTACTTAATTTTGAAAGATCTTTTTCTATATCTGGCTTCGATAAGCACTGATCTATTTCTTGTAAGACTTGATCTTTTGCCACAGGTCGATCGACATCCAAGTTGGGCAGATCTTTAGCAGTAGTAGTGATAACTGATTCCACTTTATTAGCATTGATAAATTGTTGATTTACTTCAGGAAAACTTAATTCAATGTCATTATCGAGCCTAGGTAAAGATGCCAAGCAGACACCGGAATTGCTCTCCAGGTCTTGTAAACTGTAATTGGTTTTTACCGAACCATTATGATCACTGCTAGAAAACTGAGTATTAATCATTTTGCAACTGGAAACATTTTCGTTTATCCTTTGCTCTTGACATTTCAGTATACTTTCATTTGCATTATTTAAAATGGAGGACTGAACAATCAGCGGATTTGTAACCTTTTCAATAACTCTTTCTCCTAAAACACTGTGAACTGGAGTCGCAATTTCGACATTCAACATTTTAGGACTACAGGGTTTTATTTCAAAATTGCAACCAACTTCTTTGTGAATAACTGACTGACTTATCTTGGCTTCAACATCAAGGGGCGAAATTGGTCGCGTTGGTATACCTAATCCGTGTAACGATGCCGTAGACGATCCTTTCAAAGAACTTTCGAAAGTTCTTGGCGTAGACGGTTTAGAATTATAATTGTTTAAATTTGAGGATTCAATTACTTCTTCAAACTGATGAAGTAGTTCAATACTGTTGTATCCTTTAATATTCTCAGGTAATTTGGAAACTTTCTGAATGTGTTCATATTTACCCAGTTCTTCACTGGGCACATTGACCAAACCGAGAACATAAAGCTGCTCTTGGTTGTTGGCTTCATAAACTTTGCTTATGTCTTTTGAATTAGTTAACATACGTACACCATTCTCATGTAAATTGTTGTTGTCTCCATTTTCTTCTTCTCCTTCATTCCACATTTGTAGGAATTGTCTTACGTCTATGTCTTTCTTATCTTTTGAGCTTGCATGAGAATTGCTCTCATACTTTGGTATCAAAGAAGATTTCACCACAGTGTTGTATCTTTGATCATATCTTCTATAAATATCGTAAGGCATTCTGTTAGTACCAGATTCCATACTTCTCATACTGACCGAAGAGGATTGGCTAACATACCCACAATCTTCATGAGAAGCTCCTTGCGTTTGATTGGTGTCATTGCTGGTATTAGAATCTGATGGGGAAATTGCTATAGTTGAAGGCGAAAATTGTGATGGAAATCTTGATAAAGGAGGCCCGTTTATCGGCATTGATGGGTCAATATTGCGGACATGAGGTCCAAATTCATAACCTTTCATGGTAGGATTTTCTCTCCTATAGTAGGTATGTGGTGGCATCCCATATATATTTCCTGGGTAATTTGGGGGTAGAACTTGACCTTTCATTGGATGAGTTCTTGCAAGTTCATTAACATAGAAACCTTCAGGAAAGATTTTATTGTTATTGTCATATGGTAACTTGTTTGAAGTATTTGGTTTAGCAGAACTTTCTGGTGCAAATGGATAGTATTTATTTGTTTGCAAACAATTTCCTCCAACAGGTCCATAAGTAGGATGTATTACTTGATTCCGAAATGGTACATTACCGTAATGTGCCTGTGGGTTTGACCTTTGATAGCCATTCAAAATGGGTTCAGACATTCTATTATCAAGGTATTTGATAGGGACTTGAGGATACCCTGGGTAAGGGTGAGAGTGTACTGACTTTTGTAATTCATATTTATGTGTCGGGAAGGGTGGAGGTGGATGAAATGGATTAGAATAATTAGCAATATAATCATACCTTGGTTGTGTAAACCGCTCTTTTACTGTTGGGTAAGGCTTGAATCGAATGCTTCCTTCTTGAAAGTACGGGTCTGGATACATGTGCCCTGCATCTTCATGCACTGTCCTATGAGGTCTTGGCATCAGCATGGGTCTTGGGCCAGCACAGCTGGAGTATTCTGGATACTGGTACAGTTCAGGGGCACCATATGGTTTAGGTGGTCTGATATTTGCACTATTCGGAGGCCATGCATGAGGGGCACCTCTTGCAAGAGGATTCATGGTTGGCACACTAATTTCAGAGTTTCTAACAGTTTTTTGTTCATTAGTCATTGCATTACTAACAGCATAAGGCACTTCACAATACTTTGAGTCTGGGGGTATATTAAACTTGTTATTTTTCATTGGGGAAATATTTGTATCCACTGAAAAGTTATGGTCTTCTTTTAATTTCACAGAATTGTATGAAGGTGGCACCATAATGCGTTGCATATTTTCTTGGAATGTTTGTCTTGGAGATATGTTTCTGGCTGGATGCTGATAGTCCAGAGCTTTGTGTGGATAATCCGGTGGACGGCGATAAGAGTTGTCCATGGTCAGCCATGGCTCTATTGGACCTTTTTTTAGATATGCGTCGCTAGAAGCGGCTGGCGGCACGACGCGATCGGGGCCTATGACGGCGCACGGCCGCGCGGCCTGTACATCCACTTTAGCCAATGAGTTTGATCCAATATCTTGATATGGCTTAGTTCTATTGCATGGCAGCGTGGCGCCGCCCTGAGCGTATTTAGCATTGCCATCGTTGCTGCGGTCACCCAAAACTGCTTCGGTCCTTAAGTCTTTAGCATCCATTGCCATGGTAACTTGGACACATAATTATATCCGTTACCATTTTTTTATGTATCAATATGCATCAGAAGATTCTTCAATACACCTTGGTACTCGGGAATTACACCACAACCTCCCTCATTCTGAAATATAAACAAATTCACAAAACATCCTGAGAAACATTGACAAATGTCAAAACATTGCCACATACACCTGCCATAAAGGTAGGAAATAAAACCACATAGGATCCTTCAACAAATTCAATACAATGCATACTCTTACCTTTGATTTGTAGCCAGTTTTTTATAACATCAATATTATTTCCTAGGAGACACCGATTTATTACGTTCCTACGCGGTCGCACAAGGTGTTATACAGTGTTACCACATTAAAATTACTACTATTTACCGATTAAAATGATTGTTCATGTTTGAAATCTCTAATTGAAGAAATTCAAATCGTTGTGTATTAGGTATTATTTAATTAGCCTTACTGTAACTAAGTAATAATAATTCTGGATCCTGTTGTAAAAAAGCAATATTGTTGAAAAAGACAATATTGAGCATGGTGACTATCTATTACCACCGAAAAAGTTTATAAAACTCTACGGGTTCGTGTTTGGATTCAAGTCAACTTACTGAGAGTTGTTCAAAACGACTATTTTATTTTATATTGTCAGTTCCAAACATTTTGCAATTATAGTTCATTTATTTTTATTCCAATTCCTATCTAATTACATTATTTAAATTCTTGAACTTCATGTTTTTCATAGCATACGTGTATTCGAATATAAGATCTATCAAAGTCAATGTCAATCAGCCTTTAAAAAAATTGTCAATGTCATTGCTCCTGCGAGTCGAGTTCTACTTGTCTACAGTTATCTGTGGTCGAGTCTATGAAAAAATTACAGCGGTTCTGTTGTTTAAAAAATAGTAAATTTTCATTTGTAGCTCATAAAAAATAGTCCCTGTAATGAATGTATCATTTAGTTTAATTCTTTGTTTAGTTTTTGCGGGTTATGTGATTAATACAATATGGACATTAGCTGAAATATTTATTCCACCTGAATGCGGTCGTGGCGAAAAGTGTTATGCTTCGTATCTTTCTTCGAACCCTACTTTGAACCTAATACTTTTCACTTCTATTACGGAACATCCTCTTTTTGATGGTTCAGCTGCTGAATCTGTTTCAAGAATTTATACTGCAATCAAATTCGACTACCGAAATCCGTCTACGTTGTATGTAACCTATACTACTGGAATAGTTATTTAAAATAGTCTGTACATTTAATTTTCTTGCGTTTTTGCAGTGATATAACATTGAAAGTACCGCGCAAAACCCGCAACAATGGAACACTATACATGCATGCAGTTCTCGTGGACAACAGCCGCCTCAACAAGGAGTTTCAAGAGCTTCGTGCTACAGAATACGTACATACCCTGCCACTCGTTGTACATACAGAAGCACAGGCGGAAACTTTTAATTTATTAAAACAAAATGTTAGTATAGTATTATATTATAATTTATGAACTAGATATCAGTTTCTGGTTAAGCTTGAAACATTAACCTAAATATGTATTATATGTACTTGTGATATTAAGTTAGTTGAATGTCACAACCTTTTACGACCATGATGTACAATTATTTTTTGTTTAATTTTTCCCCTAGTTTGTTATAATAATTATAAATCACAGATTGAAGAAAAATTTTTTAAATACCTAAATCATTAATCTACGACAAGCACATACAAAACTTTTTAAGGTATTCTGGTTTGTTCCGTAGCTCAGTTGGGAGAGTGTCAGCCACAGTATGCTTATGCAGCCAGACTAATGAGTTTTGCTTTGTGTTCAATCTTTATGTTAATAATAATTATATATACTTGTGTTTTACATTCCAGATTGATGAAAACAAACTGAAGAAGAAACATGTACAGCCATTTTCCCATATAGTGACCCAGGTGCCTCTTTCAGTTCTTGCTGATAAATTAAATCTTCCTGATAAAAAAATTCCTGGAGAACTGTATCCATATATGAAGTAAGTAGTTTTGAAAATATTAAGTAGAAAAAGATTACTAGCATCTAATAACATTGCATATTACATTTATTCTACAACTTTATAAAGATTTATTGTTGTTTTGGTATTATGAGGATCTTAATTTTGCCATGGATTTGTCTAAAAACTCTATTTGCAATATGTTGCATGAGATCATTTAATTAAAAAATTAATAATGAAAATGAAAAAGTTTATTTCTTTCTAGTTAGTTGTTTTACATAAGGTTGGGGCTTCCTAGTAGGTGTCAACCACCAGTCACAGTAAGGCCCGCTCAAATTGTAATTATGCATAAAATTACCATACATATAATTTGTTACTTTGTATGCTTATGGATGGACATACTAGGAATGCTAAAAAAAGTAATCTATGATAAAAACATTTGATACTACTACTATTTTTTAATTACTACTGATACCGACAGATGATTGAAGTAATTATTTTTTGTTAAATTGAACGTTCTGTTGTATGTATGTATTGATATGAATATTGTTATTGTTATTCAATATTTTTTAGGGTTTCTCTAAATATGTAAAAACAGTGCTAGTTATTATACTCATTATTTTTATACACTTAAACTTCTGAGAATAGGGTTAGGTTTGTATGCTAAATTATGGAAGTTTAAAATTTTTTAATTAAACCTCTCGAATTTCAGGATTAGACAAGGCATGTTTCTGCCAATAATTCAACACAACGTTCTCAAGTCGCGTTTGTCTCAACTGCAACTGCTTAATAGTAGTACTGCAGAAGTTAACATCACAGTCTCTGTAGCACCAACATCGTATGGTTCATTTCGCCTAGCGCTGCATGTGAGGCTGACTTTACAACAACTTCACTCACTTGGCTTCAGTCAAAAGGATGTGGATGATGTAAAGGGCATCTTTGCTGATACCAATTTGTATCTGCTATCGGCTACTGTTCTAATTGCTAGTTGCCATGTAAGCACCTGTGTCAAACTTATATTTATTATTACAATGTATTTTTATTTGTGGATAAACAAATTACATTGCAAGTCATAACATTGATTAAACAGTACTTCATAAGGCAGATTCCCATGAGATGTTGTGGGATACCCTAAGGGTTGCCTTTGTAAACAAACATTTGTTCAGATTTATCATTTCTAATATCTATCTCAAATATTGAAGGTAGAAATAACCTGGGCGAGTATAAACATCACTACTATGGACTTTTGAGACCCATGTGCACAGGCTGTATTATAAAGTTCCTATTAGAAAGTTTTTCAACTATCAACAGGAAGAAGTACACACATTGCTTGTTATGCGAATTTGTGACTTGTGAAGACAACTGGCAAGAACTGCCAATAGTCAAAGCTTTGTGTGGTTACTGACATTTTCGATGAAATAATAACTATATTAAATGGACATATTTTTTTCCAGTTATTATTTGACTTCCTAGCATTCAAGAATGACGTCTCGTTTTGGCGCCGCAAGCGCTCCTTGGCGGGGCTGTCCGCCCGCACTGTACTATGGCGATCCTTTTCGCAGTTTGTTATCTTCTTGTACCTTCTTGAAGAAAAGACTTCCATGCTCGTTCTTGTTCCTGCTGGAATCAGTGCAATTATTGAGGTACCGACGCAACAATATTCGAAAACAACTTTTAAAATGATAAATATGTTTCAAGCAATTGAGACAAAACAAACCATTACATATACTTTTTTAAACTAAAAGAATTGCTAAAATTTGTTTGTTTTAAACTTTGCAGCTATGGAAAGTAACAAAAGTTCTTCATCTACGTGTGAGTTTCATTGGTTGGAAACTTCGTGTATGGCGTGACGCGAGTTTGGACGCGAGTGAGAAGACCACTGCCAGGGCGGATGCAGAGGCCATGCGTTATTTGTCCATGCTACTGTATCCGCTGTGTTTCGCGGGCGCTATTTACTCGCTCGTTTACGAACCTCATAGGAGGTAAGCATGAGTATTTTGAAGCTGTATTCACACTATTAACCCGTAATTTTTAATGATAATTTTCATCTAGTCATAATACTAATACGATCTAAATACGTCGCATACTTTTTGTTTGAGACAACTAAACCTACTCCAAAAAGTGTTCCAATTTTTTTTTGTTTTGTGTAGACTATACATCCACTTCTAATGTGTTTTTGACTACTGCCACAGTGCTACTCAATTTGATATCACTTTGACTTTAACTGTATCGTGAAAACTTTATAAAAATGCACTTGGTACTTGGTACTTGGTGTAACGGGCTGGTGTCCGCAACTCGACGACAAGGCGCCTATTTTGCGTGTGTATTTATAAAAATGCACATGTTAAGTTTTATACATTTGTCTATAAAATTTTACTTAATTTATGTTTATATCGTGCATGTGCACGGTTGGTTACAGACATGCCCTGAAAACCGCATTACTAATAGCAAGCTAATGCGTCGGTTCTCACATCTGTGCGGTGCAGACGCGTGTTGTTTTCTCTATTTGCTACTCATCTGTGACTCTACCTTTTTTTTTTTTCTTTTTTGACTGTGACTGTGACTCTGTGACTCTACCTGCAACTTTGATTTTCTTGAAAATGTATTCTTTCACTTAACTTCTTAATACACTAGCCCTTACTATTTTAACACTTAATAACGCCTATTTACCGTTGTGCATCTTATCTTATGTCCTTGTTATTTTTATGAAGTAGTGTGAAAGAGTGCATAGCCTATACTAGGTCACTAACTTAAATATGTGTATTATATGAAAATATTTCTAAATAATTGTCTAAAAAAGTCTTAAAATATGACAATATATATAAAATATGTCCATTATATAAGACAGTATATTGTACGAAAATAGATACTGTCTGTGTAAATTCCATTTATGGAAAGCCAACATTTTGGTTATGATCTGTCGAAATAGGTTCCACACTTGTGGACCCCTATTAATGTCTCATTCACCCACTATTTTTTTCCGCTGACATGGAGCCCTTGTGAAGTGGCGTGGTTTTTAGAATCATCGATCTAGACATTTCTTGTGAATTACAAAAGCTGACAAGTTTGTAAAGAATTTTTAAATAAAATTTCTGTGAAAAATAATTTCATCTGTTTCTCATTATAATGTTTATATTATTAACGATCTATCTACGGAATTATTAATATTGTCTTTATATTTCCAGCTGGTACTCGTGGCTGCTTCACAGCATCGTCAATGGTGTATATGCATTTGGATTCCTGTTCATGTTGCCACAACTATTCGTTAACTACCGACTGCGGTCTGTAGCTGCGCTCCCTTGGAGAGCATTCATGTATAAAGCCTTTAACACTTTCATTGATGACATATTTGCCTTTATTATCACAATGCCGACTGCGCACCGCGTGGCTTGCTTTAGGGATGATCTTGTCTTCCTCATTTATTTATATCAAAGATGGTGAGTGTATTTTATAAATTTTTTTAGTAATCAATGTGCTTTTAAGATTCAATTCAAATCAGTTATCTCGTTTCTGATACACAAAATTTATAAATGCGTTACAAAAGTGAATTTTGAATCACTGTGGTCCGCCTTGCGACATACAAAGTTGACATAGTTTTTATTTAGTGCTACTAAATTGTTTTCATTTTCATGCAATAATTTGTAAATACACTATAATCACGCAGTCCAAATAATCGCAACCTAATAACAATAATAATATATAACAATAACAGATTTAATAACTTGGTATAATCTAAAATATTTAAGAACAAGTACAGGCAATAACAATTGCCTTATATTTTTCACAGACATCCTCAATGGGGTGTCTTCTTGACTACATAAAAAGTAAAGTTTTTTTAGAATGATACTTCACCTATGTTATTATTAGCTCTAAAATCCTTATTACGCCCCTGTAGGAATAGACCACAACACACAAGTTAAATTTATTTTTTTTCCAATTTAAGGTTGTATCCAGTAGATAAATCGCGTACAGATACAGCAGCCAGTATGGATGAGAACCCGGACGAGCCAGAGCCAGGCAAAAAGAAAATGGACTAGGTCCAATAGCCAATTCTAGTAGACTCACAACGACTTCCAAAGGTGCTAGGTGGGTCAACGCCGTGACTGTTTTCCTAAATTTTTTTTGTTACTGTAAATAATCCTTTTAATTTCCTAATGATATACATGAAGCAGCGTAGAACCATCGATAAGTTGATGGTTCTACGATGATTATCTTTTTAATGAGTCGGTCGGATTTGAACTTTGCGATGACAAAATTGGCCTTGTAGTTTTTTACTCTTAGGATCGTATTCCAGAACTCTACTCAATGCTCAAGTCAGGATTTGAGCAGACTTGAGTATGATTTCAAGCACTGGAAATACGACCCTAATGGCAAGGACTTGAGTATGATTCTAGTGCTTTGAATCATAACTCAAGTCCTGACTTGAGCATTGAGTAGAGTTCTAGAACACGACCCTCAATGTATTATAATTAAGTTTCGAATTTAAATTCAGCAACTTAAAGAAATGGTACTGCGTGACTGAACCGCTGACTGTACTGACTGTTATTCGAGTCTGAATAGTGCGTTCTGAATATGTCCCATGTACTAAAATAGAAATCAAATATCCGTAAGGCAGTGGTATTTTTACAGATTCCATACTACTACTTTACGTAACTTTCAATTCGTCTTGCGTTAAACGTATGCAATGCTGATTGCCATAAGAAGCATGCAGTCCTATGTACCAGTACAACTTATTCCAATGTTTTAACGTTATCTTTAGCCATTTTGTCTGCGGTACTGCATGCGCTATGGCACTTCACGCATGCGTCAGAAGAACATGCAAGATGAATATGAAAGCGCACTGGTGTGGACATAGCATAATCCATAGTTTCTGTGCAATGGGTATTTCTTGCAATTATAGACGTCATGCCACTTGAATTTGTTTACCTATTACGTATTCTAATTACGCAGTGTCACGCAAAAGTTCACGCTCACCTGTAACGTGTGCACTATTGAGACGACCATGGAGAGGAAAGATAACACTCTTCAAAATATTATGCTTTGTTGCGTCCATTAAAATAACAAAAAGACTCATAAAAATGTGCATATTAATTTCGAATAGTATATAAAATTAGAACAGTTGGATGATAGTGCATACGGTAGTTGAATAAATTTGTGTGTAATTAACTCGTAAGACATGGATAAAGAATGCAACTTAAGTGCTATTTTGTATGTTTGTCTTTTTCTGTTATGTATGTATTTTGTTTAGATAGATTGGAATAATGTAGGTACATACGAGTAGTAGACATAACATCTTTGATTGTTTCAATAAAACGGACTTTGGAGAGATAGATAGAATTTTATTACTTATTATCAAAGTGGTCATCCCTTTGACACAAAGTTTACACCTATAGTTGCCAGGGATTTTTTCTTTTGAGACTTTATATTAATGTTTGTATGCAATTGGTTAGCCTTTTTTGTTCTACTATACACTACATAACGATGGCTTTCTAAAATAGACCTATCTCAAAAACGCCTAGTTTTTCAAAAAGCTGGTTTGAAAAAGACAGGCGTATCTGGCACGCAAAGATGACGAATCGTATACCGACACAATGCTGCCACGTAATTATTTTAACCAATGGAATGATCGATTTCTTACTCTTAATAAATTTTAGTACGTTTTGTTTCTACGGCTGTGCAATAAGTAAAATAGACATATTTTGATTTGAGCCACTGTTCGTGAAAAGCAGCGGTAAGTTTAACACAATATTGCAATAATAATTTTCCTCTTGAGAATTTAGACTGGACTGTTATTTAGGATGTAGAAAAGAATTTATTGACTTGATAGACGTGAATGGCAGGGAATGATTCGGGATACTGGCACATATTAGTATGTTTTCCTTCCTTCCTTAGTAAATTATAATTATCGTAGTTTTGTTTAACTTGGAGATTTTTATTAAATAGTTGATCAACAAGAAATTACGATATTTCGTATGAATTTATTGTAGGCTGTTATTGATTAGGCTTCGACGGATGTAAGTTAGGTAATTACTTCGTTCACAGAAACCTTAGTACATTTATTTAATGTAGTTTTGTACAGTTTCCACGTACATATAGTAATCCACATAGCATTGAAATTGAAAGACGAAATTTTGTTACTTGTAAATTTGATAGGCGAAATCATTAAGTTTATTAATTGAAGAAAAGATAAATAGTTAACCAAATAATCGAAAGCTGAGATTTCGATTTACTTTTGTAAGTGATTTCTATAGCTTATATTTCGCTTTCCTGTTTTGGTATATTTATTGTTAAGTATTTTAATTTACGAAAACACACTGTTAGATTGTTACTTTTTAACAATATAACCTCTACTGAACTGATAAATACACTCGTTCGTTGATATGACTGAAATTCTCTCACCGCAACCATGTTTTATTCAAGAATAAAAGATTTTTAATTATTACTTTACTTTTTTTACTCCACTAAAACTAACTTACTTTTATGATTTTATTCACATAAGGCACGTTTCGAGATATAAATAATGACACTTGATGTAAAACATACCTTAGTACACATTTTGTTACTGCATTTATTAATTATAAATTTATTTATTCCAAGAAAGACAATGTATGTGGTTGTGGGTAATTTATTAAATTATATATTTGCATAAGTTGATAAAAGTGTAAGCAGACGTATGTGGGTCAATCAACTTTGTTACCGCCACTTTGAACGCGTAAAAATATGGTTTTTGATAATCCTACATAATTTGAATTGATTTTACTGTAGTCATCATTTCCTTGTTTTATAGCTTAAGATGTACAGAGACGTGTATGAATTATTTTTGAAAGTATTCATCATAGATTTAATTTTTCCTGCCCATGTGTCTAGTGTGTAACCAGGTGTTTTTATGACATTGTAAAAAACTTATTATTATTATTTTTTAATTATTACCTCGTTGTTTCATTCGTTAGAATAAACAAGACATCTTTGTTCACCTTTTCTATAATAAATTTTTCTGATGTATTTTTTTTTGGTGCAATAAAGAATATATTCATGAATAATTAAATAATTTTTGATACAATCAGTTCAAGAAAATATCCAGTGTTGTAGAATTATAATAATAATTATATATTATATTATAATAATAATAATTTATATATATATATATATTATGTTGTTATAAATAAATGATGAATACAGGAAAAATAAATTTTTAGTTTTTATTTATACGGCCGATTGTCGGTAAAAAAAATTAATTGATGCATGTATTACTGATACTTTGCTACGCGCATTACGTTCGGTAACAGCGCAGCATTATGTAAAAGACGCTTTTGTACAGCTCAAAGATTTAGAGAAATGTTGTTTAGAATTTTAAGTATCTGATATAAAGCCAACGTAACTATAAATTTGATTAAAATTATGACACTTGCTCACACATGAGAAAATACTCGATCAAAATGATTTGTTTCTAGATATGTGCATAATAAATATACCAATGACCGAATTTGCTTCGTTTTTTTGATAATTGTAATGCTTTTATTTTAGACTTTATATATTTCTGAACTTATACAAAAAAAAGACTTTCATTATACAGGGTGGAACTATTACATATCATACGGAATTGGAACAGGAATCATAAATCGCAATAAATGACTTATTTTCTAAAATCAGGTGTCTAGCGCACAAATTTTTCTTTAATTGGTTTTTTTTTGTAATATCAAGTGACGGGACGAACAAGTCGTGCGCCTGGTGCCAAGCGACACGCTTGTTCATTGCAGTTGCAGTGCCACCTAGAGCATTAAATCGCAAGGTCTGAACAGCACGGCCACTGCGCCCGTCATTCTTAGGTATAAGTTGACAAGTCCCATGTGCCTGTAATTTCATCAGCACCTTTACCCTTTAAAATCGGAATGCAGTGTTGCTCACTTTAATGCTTTGCGGCAGAAATAGGTAAGGCAGCAGTATTTTCCTGAACGAACTCTTTCACAAAGAATAATTTTCAAATAAAATAAATACACAGATACAATTTTAACATGTACAAAAAAATATATTTTTACACTCAATAAACCATGAGCTTTATACTTTGGACCGTTCTATTCGCAAGTGCAATAAAATTGAATTTGAATGTTAAATGTCAGGTTTGACGTTCTATTGACCCTGTGCCTTCAATTGTTTAATCTAAAATACTATAGTTGTTATAGGTCAAACAATCAAGTGGAAAGCAACTATTGCAATTAATACTCTTCATGGAAACGTCACCTTTCTCTAAAGTTTTGTAAGTAAAAACAATACATTTAAGAGGGAGCAGAGGAAAAATTCCTAATCTTCAATTTGATTTTAGAGGGATATATCCACTTTAAAGTTAAAAATAAAATATTGTATGAGTAACTACACGATATATTCAAGCATAGATATTAATCAGAAACATAAAACAATAAAGTTTCCTCGATAGATAAAAATCACGAAATGTCCTCTAATTTTCATATTTTTTCTTTTTATCCTCGAAATGCTACAGGTTATTAGGACAAAAATTAGATAATTAATTATATTTATGCATGATCGACAACTGTCACTACGGATTTTTTTTAATCCCTTTAGTTTAAGAGTTATTCCGCTAAAACGAATTTGGTACTTTTAATGCGCAAAATTCAACATCTCCTGTCGCATGTCACGCGAACTTCAGGCATATATTTGTTTCACAAATTTGGGCGGAGCCAACGTCAAAACTTTTTTGGCATGCTTCCTCTTAAATAAAAGACGGTTTCAGCAGAACTATAACAAAAAGACAAACTAACTTAAAAATTGTTTTCTCCAAAATCATAGGGATAAGGTGCTACTGTCACGAAACAATTATATCATATTTTTATACTACGAGTGATCATAAATTATGTGCAGATTTTATAAGTATTAGGTATCTTATACAAAACTCAATTTTAATCAATTAAGTTCTTGTTGACAAGTTGTTCTATAAAAATTACGAGATAAGGACGATAATATTATATCAAGGAAATAATAAAACTAAAGATGATCGCACAATACAGCAAAATAATAAATTATTTCTGTTTTTCTTAACATATAAATTTTTTATTTAACTTTCAAATTATAAATTACAATTAATTAAACTGTCTGGAACCTAACAACCTAAACACGATAATTCTGCAATAAGTAGTTCAGGAGTATAATAGACAGCCGACTGTCTTACGATTACCATAATGTAATGACATCCGATTTTCATAGTATATCAATGTTCAAATCGAACGGTCAGGTGGAAGTAAAATAAATATTCATTTTATGGCATCCTAGACTAAATGGGAATAAAGGTTTTTTAGCTGATGGTCTTTAAACAGCTAAACAGATGGTCATCAAACATGGCTAAAACTATCTCGATGAATAATTTACTAGAATAACACTTCGAGGTCAG